TGCCGACTATAATTTCACGAGTAACAAGGTATCACGTCTTAGAACCAGAAGGAAATATCGTAGACTGGGTTATGTCACTGTTAAAAAAAAACTAGATATTCATGCATTGTCATTGAAGAAGAATGTATCTGGACAATTTGAACAAAACCGTTGCATTAGAAGTGGGTCTAAATTGAGTTACAAGAATTGACACAAATCCACAAACAAACAAACAGACGTTGCGAACGAAATAAAAGCTTGTAAGAAGGAAATCTGCGGCCAAAATCCTGTAATCGAAGTCTGCATATTTTTGGCTTCACGGGAAGTGTGTGTCAGACGAGAGATACACGCGAGTCACTGGATCGATCGAGGATGAGTGAGTGTCTCTTCTGCACGATTGTGAGATGCAAAGTTTGGGGTGGGGGGTGGAAGTTTAGTCGTTCGATCGAGGGATGTGAAGGTTTTTGTTGATTTTTCAGTGAATCCTGCGCAACTTAAGTAACCCAACCCAAGTCATACTCTATGCCAAACCCTAATTTCTAACCATAAAACTAGTCGAGATTACTATACTATTAACAACCTAACACACCTATTTTCGGAAGAGTCTATTATCGGATATCGGTATCTTCAATAATCGATGCAGCTTAAGTTTATTCTTTGAAAAAAATTGAATGGTGTTTATGAATGATCGTGTTCTTCTTATTTTACTTTATGATGTAAATTACGTACTTCTTGGAGTTTTTGAATTCATTTGCCAAAAAAAAACATTGGAAGGAAGAGGTGCTTTATCACATATGATAATCATACTTCATTCCCTAACCTAACGATTTCACTTACATATCATTCATATTCATACCCGCGATCCTATAAAGCCACTGGGATATACTTACAAAAAGCACGCATCAAACGGTTGCATATTTCACGAAATCGGGGAAGGGGGTAATCCCTCAATGATGACATATTTCTAGGGGGTGGGGGGGGGGGGGGTCGGACTTAAGTGACTTAAGGGTGCCGTCACACTTTTGTATTTGCATTTTTTAAAAGTAATGATCCAAGTTTAAAACGGTATTTTAAAGATATATTCAATTAAAATTTGAATTGAACATTTTTTTAATGGATCTGTGAATCTAGTGTTAACCCAGCTCAATCATTTTAGAAATAAATTTTCGTTTAAATTAAAGTAAAGGCTTGAATTTAAGACTGAAATATCGTCAAAATGAAGCGAGACGTCTTGTATAAACAGTGTTTCTTCCAGACTTTTTTCTCCTGGGGGCACTTGAAATCTTCGGGGGGGGGGGGGGGGGCGAGTGCCCCCCCCCCCCCCCCCCCCCCCCCCCAAGGAGAGATGCCTGGAAGAAACTCTGTGTATAAACGACCCCGTGTAGGCCTTTGTTAAATATTTTTAGAACCTCTCACACGCGTGTAGCCTTTAATGATTCCTCTCAAAATATTTACGGCCCAAGCTTGAGGTCATTAAAATAAATTAACGAACTACGCCAAGACACACCAATCGCATGATGACGAGCGTATTGGCTCTAACTTGGGAACTTTCCATGCCCTCAATTCAACAACACATTTTCTCTTTCTAATCCGCAAACTCGTAAACGAAAATTTTCACGAACTAGCTGAATAGCTTTACACACAGTTTGTATCGTATAAAGCTTTTCTTTTCTCGTTAACGATAATACAATCCCTAAAAAACTTGTTTACGGTTTTGTAAATCTAGGTTTTTAGGGTAGGGGAGGTGACTGTAGACCTTTGATTTCTAGGTTGCTTACTGACGTAATTAACGGTTTCTCAACAGTAACACACTAAGGCTAACGGTCACATTACAACACGACAGTACTAGATCTATACCTTTTTTGTTACATATATATTTTTTTCGTCACACACATAGCCCACCTGTAAAAAAAAAACTGCGTAAGCAATCAATTTTTTTAATTGATTTAAGTTCAGGAAGTGCGTTGGCATTTTTTATTTCTTGAAAAAAATGTTTAGGAATGCTAATCAATATTTTTGCAATGTACTTAGGCCTAATGGCCTAATTTAAGAAAGAATATTACATTTTTTGTACGGTTATTTAATTTGTCACAGTTGATTTTGTTCATAGAAAAGCTAGATATTTTTTTGGTCGGTTTGTTCGCCTTATAGTATGTTCAGCCGGCTTTTTTTTTATGACGGCCTATTGTCCGTGTCGGCCTTTTGTCAATGTCGGCTGTTTGGATGCCGGTATTTTGGGTGCCAACCTTAAAGCCAGTGTCGGCTTTTGGTCCATTTAGGGCCTTTTATCCGGGTTCCGGATCCCAATTTTGTAACAAATTTTGAAACAAATATCCTCCACCAAAGCAATACCACGTCATTTATGGACAACGCCTTGATCTATGCATAACAAATCAATATTCCGTTAAAATAATTTTTTTTTTCTTCAGGAAAACGAAGGAAGGGTAACTCTGGTATTATTGTTGAGTGTCACCATCTCATGTCTCGGCAATTCTTTCCTCTATGGCTACCAGATTGGTGTTGTCAACCAACCAGCCAACGTAAGTCACATTCAAAACATCTCATTTTTTGTTTTGTTACATCTGTTTATTGTTTTTAGTTATCTCAATTTATTCACTTTAATTCTTTATTTAATACAAAAAATAATTAAGAAAATTACTATAGAAATCAATCTATGTACTCACAAATGTACTGTCACTTTAATTATTCCTTATTAATATTATTAATTATTATTCCTTTACTTTAATTAATTCTTTATTTAATAAAAAAAATAATTAGGAAAAATAATTTTGGAATCAATGTACCATGTTACTTTAATTATTTTTTTTATTATTTTTCCTTTACTTTAATTACTTATTTATATTTAATAAAAATAATAATTAGGAAAATCAATCTATGTTACCTAATTAAATGAAATATATTATTAATTGATAATAAAAGCTTGTACATTTGGTACCTTGTAAATTAATAACCTACTGTATTTATAATTATTTTTTCAAAACCAGATCATTCAAGAGTTTTACAACAAAACATACTACGAAAGAAGAGGAGGTAACTGGGAAAATATGGAGAAATACAATGCTTACCTCCAGAACAGAACAGCTGTAAGAGCAGCACTGAACACCACAGGGTAAGTTGTGTAGTCAAGGATGTTTGGCTTTTATGGGGTAACTGGGTAGCAGACAAACTTTTCGATTTGCACCCCCTCAAGATTTCGATTTGCACCCCCTACCCCCACCCCATCAAACTTTTGGTTTGCATCCCCCACCCACCCCCGTCAAACTTTTGGTTTGCACCCCCCCCCTCCAGATTTTGATTTGCACCCCCCTCAAACTTTTGATTTGCACCCCCCCCCCCCCCCTCAAGATTTCGATTTGCAGCCCCCTCAAACTTTCGATTTGCACCCCCCTCAACCTTTCAATTTATTTTTCCAACCCATTTTGGCGCCCCCTAAGGTCCCACCCCCCCCCCCTCGCTACTCTACTGCTGGGTAGGGAAAAGCTGGGGAAGACTTTCACTTGGTAGACAGGTAAAACTGTACATAGGCTTTTGATTTAGTACTTTAAAATAAACCCACATGTTTGGCTATGGCATAGCAACAGTGATGCTATGATCACCAGCAAGATTTGTCTAAGTTATTTTCTTTTATTTATCTAACCAAACTCAGTTTATAACCCTAAACCTAGCTACAATACATTTATGTTATGATTTATAGTAAATCTTGTGTAAGATCTTGTATTAGAACATTAGAACCTTATTTTAGCATTTGCATACTTGAAACATAGAGCCTCCACCATTTCCAACCATTTCATCCGATCCCCGGCTATTAATTTTGCCAAAGACATCCCATACTAAAGCATTCATATTTCTTTATTTTAAATTCATTTTTGTAATCTTAGATTTTTCTCTATTATTTTTTAGTGTAGAATATTTATGATAAGTTTTTTTTTATTTGCTTGTAATTGACAATATTTATTTTCTATTAGTCTGGCTACTTTTATTTTATCTTTATCTGGCTTGTTTTATTTTGTTTTTCTGGTTAGTTGTATTTGATATTTATCTGGCTAGTTTCAATATTATTTTGATCTGGTTCCTACACAGAAATGACACAGACACAGATATCAAGCACCCAGCTGATTTTGGTGCTGATCTCAGCTTGTTGCTGGAGTCATGGGAGGTCAAAATATTGTGGTCCACAACTGTGGCCGCTTTTGTTCTCTTTGGCATGATTGGTGCATTTTGTTCTGCCAAAGTTGCAGACTTCTTTGGCCGGTGAGTTTACAGTTTAGAGTTAGACTAGTAGTTTAAGTTTAGTGAAGTTTAGTTAGTTTAGAGTTTAGGTTTAGAGTTACACCTTATTGAGATATTTATCTAGATCTAGATCTAAATCTAGAACTTCTATGAAAAATTTTGAACCAAAATAATATAATGAATAATGTCTATCACATTTTTAGCACCATTGTATTTCATGTCATTTAGTTACTTTAAACTTTAAACTCAATATATAGTAGTCTATACTATATATAGTATATATTAATATTATATATATTGTGATTTAATGAATCTACCAAATTTAAATTTCTTTATAAATAGACCTAATGTATGGATTTCTTTACAGCAAACGTGGTATGATCATCATCACTTTCCTAATGTTTATCGCAGCAGTTTTGGGAGGAATCACGTTGGTTGCTGTTTCCCCAGAGTGTCTCATATTATCTCGGGTCTTTGTGGGCATGCATTCTGGTAGGTCTTTGTTCACTTTTCCTTGATGTTGTCTCCACATGTTCTCATTCTGGTAGGTCCTTGTTCAGTTTTGTTGATGTCTCCACATGTTCTTATTCGGATAGGTCTTTGTACAGTTTTGCTTGATGTTGTCACCATATATTCTCATTCTTGAATTAGAAGTTTCAGTATAGTTCTTTGTTCTCTGTAAAAAAAAAATAATAATAAAGTTACCTTTTTGAAACTGGCATTCCATGAAGTAGAGTTCATTACTGTCTGACCTGGGCATATAAAGAAATAGTGTGGTTGGCAGTATGCCTTGCCACACATTCTTTCCTTAACATAAGCCATGCACACATAAGAGCTGGGTGGACTCAGGGATGTCATAAGAAATCACACCTTAAATCTGAACTCGAGATCCTCCAGATGTATTACTGCCTCAGACCAGAGATCCGAACTGGAGACTTCTGAGTTAGTATTCATACACTCTATCACACGACCATGATGTCTCATCCTCTGTATGTACAATAACAGATCATATTTCTTTCTATAGGTCTCAACATAACACTGTGTCCGCTGTATCTCGCTGAAATCTCTCCCAGGAAGATTCGAGGTGCTATAGGGACATGTCATCAACTTGCCATCACAATTGGCATCTTGGTATCACAGATTCTTGGTTTAGCTGAGCTATTAGGTAACATTTACTTATACATTTTTTACCTCTTAAGAAAAGCAATGCAGCAATTTAATAAAATGTATTTTTATCGACTGACTTGAATTTACCCAGTGACTATTTAGGTAAAATCTTATTTTTTTAAAAAGCTATCTCTTGCAACACCATACTATTAATATTAAAATGTTTATAGTGTAATAATTAGGCCATAAATTCTTTGCATAAAAAATCTATGAAATGAAAAGAATACTTCAAATCCCAAGTATTGAAAAATAAATATTTAACTGGTGGGAAACTAAGTTTAAATTTAAAAGAAACACTAGTCCTAGCTGATATACTTAGTTGTTTTACAAATCAGTATTTCACTAGTCTTGGCTAGTACCCACAGCACAATGTCCAATATTTCCTATTGATGTTGCTTGATTCAGTCCAACCTTTCACTTCAGCCAAACCATTGAAACAAAAAAATAGAATAGCTCTATAGACATAAAATATAAAGTATCTATATGATTTGTCAAATTTGCAGACTATTTTGGCTGGTAAATTTAAGTGTCCCAGACTTAGATTTTTGTAAAATATCTCAGCATAAAATTTTAAAACATTTTCAAATTTTTTTCTACCTCCAGGTACAAAAGATCTGTGGCCTCTACTGTTTGCTTTCAATGCCATCCCATCCCTCTTGTGTCTGGTTTTCTTGCCATTTTTCCCTGAGAGCCCCAGGTTTCTACTCATTAAGAAGCACCAAGATGAAGAAGCTAAGAGTGGTAAGTGCATTGTCATCTGTTACCATTTTTGGTCCTAAACAGTAAACAAAATTAATAGTACTATGACTGCAATAAGGTGGAAAGCCTAATCCTGGTAAATCCTCATGCTAAGTTTTTGAAATTTTTAAAATGATTCAGAAGTCAATTTATGCATTTGCTTAATTAAAAGTATGGACAGTATTGTTTTGTTTAATGATTTACAATTTAGGCTATGATTTAGATTATTTTTAATGACTAATTAGACTTTGAGTTAAGCTTCTAAAAGCAACATTGAAAGTTTTCAATTTATTCAGTAGTGGTAACAGTAGTATTAAACATAAAGAGAATATAGTACTTTTCAAATTAGAATTGCATAGTTGTTAAGGGTCAGTTGTAGTTTAGATTAAAATAGGCTAGAACCTAGGGGAGGGGTGTGTGTGAGTTGAGTTAACCCCGGGATGTTTAGGTATCGTTATCTCAAGGTCAAGTGCGGGTGTAAAATCTAGAGTGAACAATTTGTAGCGGCTGGGGTCGAGGGCTTGTTGGTAGCGGCTAGGGTCGAGGGCTTGTTGGTAGCGGCTAGGGTCGAGGGCTTGTTGGTAGCGGCTAGGGTCGAGGGCTTGTTGGTAGCGGCTAGTGTCGAGGGCTTGCTGGTAGCGGCTAGGGTCGAGGGCTTGTTGGTAGCGGCTAGTGTCGAGAGCTTGTTGGTTGCAGCTAGGGTCGAGGGCTTGTTGGTAGCGGCTAGGGTCGAGGGCTTGTTGGTAGCGGCTAGGGTCGAGGGCTTGTTGGTAGCGGCTGGGGTCGAGGGCTTGTTGGTAGCGGCTAGGGTCGAGGGCTTGTTGGTAGCGGCTGGGGTCGAGGGCTTGTTGGTAGCGGCTGGGGTCGAGGGCTTGTTGGTAGGGGCTGGGGTCGAGGGCTTGTTGGTAGCGGCTGGGGTCGAGGGCTTGTTGGTAGGGGCTGGGGTCGAGGGCTTGTTGGTAGCGGCTAGTGTCGAGGGCTTGTTGGTAGCGGCTAGTGTCGAGAGCTTGTTGGTTGCAGCTAGGGTCGAGGGCTTGTTGGTAGCGGCTGGGGTCGAGGGCTTGTTGGTAGCGGCTAGGGTCGAGGGCTTGTTGGTAGCGGCTGGGGTCGAGGGCTTGTTGGTAGCGGCTGGGGTCGAGGGCTTGTTGGTAGGGGCTGGGGTCGAGGGCTTGTTGGTAGCGGCTGGGGTCGAGGGCTTGTTGGTAGGGGCTGGGGTCGAGGGCTTGTTGGTAGCGGCTGGGGTCGAGGGCTTGTTGGTAGCGGCTGGGGTCGAGGGCTTGTTGGTAGCGGCTAGGGTCGAGGGCTTGTCGGTAGCGGCAGGGGTCGAGGGCTTGTTGGTAGCGGCTAGGGTAGAGGGCTTGTGATGTAATGATAAAGATGACAAGTTAAATAAAGGTTTGAACAGTTCCTTGAATCGTGTTTGGAGTTGAACGAAAGGACAATTGTAACAATATTATCAATTTGAATTAACTTTGTTCCCTGTATTCTTAATTTAAAAAAAAAAAATTTCTCCGTTGCCAGCTTTGATCAAGTTCCGAGGGACCGAGAATGTCTCTGACGAGCTGGAGGAAATGAGACTTGAGGCCAGTAAAACTGTCAGTGTCAAGAACTACACCCTCAAACAGCTGCTCACCACCCCCGAGCTCCGCATGCCTGTCATCATCGCCTGCATCCTGCAGATCACACAGCAGTGGTCCGGAATCAACGCTGTAAGTGCAGGGGGTTTGGAATAACTATATTATGGTGTTAACTTGTTAGAGTTTGGCTAGGTGTAAACTATTATTGACATACTAGAGATTGGGGCTATGGCTAATCTGTATTAGACTTTGGGGCTATGGCTAATCTGTATTAGACTTTGGGGCTAGGGCTAATCTTGTATTAGACTTTGGGGCTAAAGCTAATCTTGTATTAGACTTTGGGGCTAGAGCTAATCTTGTATTAGCTAATCTTGTATTAGCTAATCATGTATTGGCTAATTAGACCGTGAGGTTGGGAATCAACTTCTTTTCCTGTTCGTGCTCAAGACACATGGGGCAGATAAAGTAGAGTTCACCTGCTTCAAAGACCTAGGCATATTAAAGGATAGTGTGGTCAGCACTATGCCCAGCCACCTTTTTTCCCTAATATGAGAGGTACCCATCAGAGCTGGGTGGACTCAGGTACATTCTACTGACTTGATCCCAGATTTGAACTCGGGACTGTCTACTTAGGAGTCTAGCTCTATACCACTCGGCCACGGCATCCCATGGGCCTGGGAGTAATCTCATATTAAAATATTAGACTTTGCAGCAAGGGTTAATCTCTAATTACCTTATTAGGCTTTGTGGCTTGGGATAAATGCATTTCAAATCATTAGACTGTGAGGGGTCGGCGTGGTCGAGTTGGTAAAGCTCATGGTTGCTAAACCGTAAAGTCTCGAGTTCAAACCCTCGGGCAGATGATGCTCGTTAGCTGAGGACAGCCACTCTTCTAGGAGAGACAACTCCAAAATCAAACAACTGCTGCCTTGTAGCTTGTTCTTGGTTGGACAAAGGCTATGGAAGCAAATCCAAAAAGAAAAGCAGGCTGAAATTGGAGTCAATGGCCTCAATGGCGCATAACCAGTTGACACGTATCTTTAATTGTGGTGGAGGGGGATCCTTTCCAACACTAAAATTAAGAACGAAGAAGAAGATGAAGAAATTAGACTGTGTAGTAAGGGGCAACCTTATTATTAGACTGGTGCTATATTAACATGTTAGACCTTGGCGTTGTGGCTAATCTCTTTTATAATGAATTAGACTTTGGTATTAAAGATAACCTTATATTAGGCCTCGAGCCAACAGTTACATCAGTTATTGATTTGAATTATTTTTTCCATCACAGGTCATGTCCTACTCCTCTACCCTGTTTGCTCAAGTCAACATCCCAATGAGCACCATCCCATACATTGTCGTAGCTACAGGAACCATCAATGTGTTGTGTAGTATTGTTGCCGTAAGTATTTGGGAAAATGTATTTTAGCTCATTTACAAAAGCAATTTTTAACGCCTAAGAACGCATATTTAAAATATATGACATTTGATAATTAATTTTTACCTGTCAATAGCTCCCTAACATTTAAGTTATTTGACCTTTTTCGTCTTTGATCGTCACTGACATTTCTTGATTGGTCCTTAACTGAGCCATCTGTATTGATCCGCAGGTCCCATTGATGGAGAAAGCTGGGCGCCGTCCACTCCTGTTGTTCCCAACTATTGGAATGTTGGCTTCATTCATCGTCATGATGATTTTCTTGAATCTTGGCAAAAAACCTGAACTTGCTGTAAGTATTATCTAACAATAAAAAACCGTCAGGAGGGGGGGGGGGGGTGAGGGTCTTAATATTCCACCTGGAATTTTTGGACTTGAAATGTTTTTATTCTCTGAAAATCCTTATTGGAAATTTGGGAAGTACTAAAAAAATCTGGAATCCCACATTCTTATACTGGAATTGACAGAAAATTTGTTGGAAAAGTAATGTTGTATTCTAAATTCTCCTAGGTATATCATTATGATAGATCAAAATGTTCTGATCACCTGTAATGTGACCACTCATTATGAATTGTTTAATTAATAACTGAATACATTGTTTCAGGATCATCAAGCAGCATTTGCTTACATTTGCATTATAGTCATGCACACCTACATTGTAGGATTTGCACTGGGATTAGGTAAGTCATACTTTTTCTTGTAATAAGGATTTAGCAAAATGTTCATTTTAAATTCATTTGTGAGTATCATTATTTTTTACTAAAAAAAAAGAACATATGGGTATATTTCAGTTTTGTTTAAACATCCCGATACAGTTTAATTTAAAAATTAAAGTTGATCCTCGAAACATCTCTCATGAATGTAGAATTGTTTTGGACAGAAAGTAAATGTTCCAAATGGCATCGATTTGCAAATGTATAGATCAATAGCAGGTTTGCTTGATTGTTAATTTGCAAGGTGTTACTGCATTACTGGAGCTATTGGTTTGTTGCTGAGACTTTAGAGGCTTTATTGAAGAAAACAGAAGAGATAGCATTTTCAAAAAAAGTCTGTTAGATTATTATTGTATCATTTTTTGATGAAACAGCTTTATTAATGTTGTACAACTCTGATCAGGTCCAATTCCCTTCATTGTGGTGGGCGAGATCTTCCGTCAGGAGCCCAGAGCAGCTGCCATGAGCTTGTCACTAGCATTCAACTGGGTCTGCAACTTCATTCTGATGTTAACCTTCCCATTCCTTAAGGTTGGTTTTATTTAATTTTTAATTTAAAAATGTTAGTTATTCTTTTTCTATTATTATCTCCTGGTTGAAAGACCATAGAAGCATCTTTGTAAAGGTAACCTAATATAGAAAACTACTTGCAATAGTGGAGGTTAAAGTAAAGAACTTTGAATCTACTTTACTAGACATATCTTGAATGCTGTCTTCAAATCGTCTAATTTAATGTTGGGAATGCTATGGTGTGGCCTAGGGGTGCTAACCTTAATGTATCGAGTTTAAATTAAGTTCAAATCAGTAGACGTCCATGAGTCCACCCAGCTCTTATGGGTACCTAACTCATGTTAGGGAAATAAGACGGCTGGGCATAGTGCTGACCACACTATCTCTCTCTACAACTTCATCTGCTGTATGTGTCTTTGGCACAAACAGGAAAAGATGATGAAAACTGTTGGGGATGTGGTGAAAATGATGGCTGACTCCTAAAGTCTTGAGTTCATAATGCAGGCTGATTAGTTTTGTTTGCTCCAAAATCAAACATTTGCTATCTCCCTTGTAGTTTGTTCATAGGTGAACAAAGGCTAAGGAAGCAAATCCAGAATGAGAAACAGGCTTAAGTCGGAGTCACTATGCCATACAGTGCATAACATGTTGACAAATAAGACTTAATTATGTAGGAGGAAACACCTCAATATTATAATTATGAATAAAATAAACCGGGAGTGATCTCCCCTAAACTTTCTCGAATATTCTTATATAAAATAACAGGGGATGGGAACTCGGGCTATAGACATGATTTTTAATCCATTTTAAATACTTAAAGTTTTAAAAATAGAATAAAATCTGTAGACAAATTAATTGCACACCAAGTGAACGCCCAATAAAAAAGCGCATAATAGTGCGCAATATTATTAGTACTTTTAAAATTTACATTAGTTTTTTGAGAAATCGGAAGTAGCGTAAATTACTACTTCCAGTCAACGGAAATTACTCAAAATTTAACAGAAGGTAGAGAATTAGATCTTTTACTTACATGTGAAATTTCATTTATCTATCTGAAATAGTACTCAAGTTATAGGCTTTTGAAAAATTCAAAGTAGGAAAAGTACCACTTCCGGTTATCGAAAATCGCTCAAAAGTTGATACGGATCTACGATTTTGATATAATACTTATATGTGAAATTTCATCAACCTAGCTGTAACGGTACTCAAGTTATCGTGTTTACACACGGACACACACACAGACAGACACACACACACACAGACATACGGACAAGATTGCAAAATTATGTTTTTCCGTATCAGTGAGGTGTAAAACGTCGAGATCTGTAAAAATCTCGATTTTTTTTTTTTGCACGATTACAATACTTTCTCTATACTTCGTATATACGAGAAAGTAAAAAAGGAGATTTAAATATTATGTCAAGTGTATCTTGAAGGCTATATTTATATAGAATTTTCAAAAACAATTAATGTTGAAAATTTCTGAAAAATATCCTTATTGCCCATTCCATTCTGGCATTGAATAATTAAAGTACAGCACTATCTACTGGTATATTTAATTGGAGATTATAATAATGTGTTCATTATATTTTTATATTTTGTTTGTTGTATTTTGGAGGCTATGTTCAATGCGTCTAATTTATATTATTGTTTTTTCATATCTTGAAAGCTATATTCAACTTGTTTAATTTATATTTTGTTTTTCGTATCTTGAAAGCTATTTTCAAATTGTCAAGTTTGATGTTTTTGTGATATCTTTAATGCAATATTCAACTCATTTTCTCATCATTAGGACGGCCTTGAGGAGTTTGTTTACATCCTGTTTTCAATCATCCTCGCTCTGGCTATCGTTTTCATCTTCTTCTTCGTCCCCGAGACCAAAAACAAGACCTTCGACGAGGTGGCCAACTCCATCTCCCTGGGGGGCAGGGCCCAGGGCAAGGACAAGAAATACAGCGTCAACGATGAGAATGAGCCCATGAGTGTGAGCAAAGTATGATGTGAGCCCGTCTAGGACATTCATCTTCTCCAACAAGGTTGTGGGATATCTAAAGCTCGACGCGTTCGCAACGTCCACGCTGTTAGGAAGAAAAGCTCGCGCTTTGATGAAACTAAAGAACACAAGACCTCAACGTGGGATTGGATTTGTATATTTTTATTTAGGTACAGAATGTGGGATCATTTCTTTATAAACGTGGGATTATAAAACTGTGTGTGCGTGGCAACAGAAATGTGGTGTTGAAGTAACCCTTTGAGATTTTTTTTTTTTTTTTTTTTACTCCTGGAGAAAATTTTGTCCAGGAGCTGACTCAAGCTTGCTTGACAATCCTAAAGACTGCACACCCAAAGGGAGGCTACTCTGGTTATTATCTATTTTTAGTTTGAGCTAGCCAACAATGCTTTCCTGGATCTATCTGTACTTCTGTATGTCCTATATGTTATATAATGATTATTCCAAATATTTACTTTTTTTCAATAGGAATTTGTTTTTTTAAATGCATGATGTTAAAAAAGAAAAAAAAAAAATAGCATTAAATTTAGTTTTTCTTACTTGATGTTGTGCTTTGTAAATGTACAAAAAATGTTCATAAAATCTCTGCTGTAATGGTTACTGAATAAGTTTGGTGGTCTAGAACTTAGAAAATAAGTTGACCATCTTGGTTTGACAGTATTCACCAGTATTTATACTTTTTAAATTACCAAAAAAAATCATTTACAGCAGTGTATTTAAAAAAAAAATGATCATGTTTCTGTTGTAAGAGTCTATATTTAAAAAAAAAAAAACAATATTGAAGATGTAGAATTTTATTATACTACCCTAGCAAAGTGTGATTATTCTTACCTCATTTGATTCTCACCACTTTTTAACTTTTGATTTGGTGTTATAAAAAAATGTATTGTTTCTTAATATAAAAATGGATTGATTTTGTTCTGAATATAAAAAAAAAATAGTCTGTCATTCAGTCAGGGTTTATTTGATCTTATGCCACATATATTTACATGTAGAACCTCATTTTTATACATAGTTTTTCTCATAGTTTAATATCTACTGAAACTTTTTACACTGGGTAAAATAATGTTCCATCCTTGCATGAGTTTTTAAGTAGTCATTTTATTTATTCAGAAATCAGGAATCAACTAATCAGAATATGATTAAATTAAATAAATACTATGGTTTTTTTTCTTTTAATAATATTGAGCTAAATTTAACAAACAAACAAAATTCTTTAAATAAAAAATAATTTTTAAAAATAAAAATTTCTTTTTACTCACTCAGTATTTTTCATTTGTCAAAACATCAAATTTATTAAAATATACTTTCATTGTAAAAAGCCATGACCTAACATTATTTATTTTAAAACCTTTAACTTAGTCATTAAAGCATTTGTAAGTAAACAAATATAATATATCATAACTTTTTTTTATTAATAAAGTATAAATTTAGTTTTAATTTCAATAGTTGAGTTTTTATTTGTCTAGATTTTCAGAATTTTTAAAGTGAATATTTTAGTTAATTAATTGTGTGTTTGAAATTTTAATTGTGTGTACAAATTTAAAATTATTTAACTGCTGTTTTTATGGGTGTTTTAAAAATTAATTCCTAAATTTGTTTTGTTTTCATGAATTGCAGTGATTTTTAAACTTAACTGACAAATCTTCAAGAAAATCTAGCCTCAACTGATGTTTACATATGTATGTTATTGCAGAATAAATAATCATTGATCAGAAGTTAAAATGCAATTTAAAGAAAACAAAAACATTTCATAAGCATCCAATCTTTTATAGTTTCCTCACAAAGTGAGGAAAAATAGATATATGAAAAATTAATGAACATTCTTTTTCACAATTTTAGACAAGGATATGAATTTGATAAGAATTTTCATAAACAATTGATTTTGAAAATTTCAGAAAAATTATTCTTTACTGCCCTTTCTTATCTTACAATGGCATTGAATAATTAAATTACAGCACTATCTATTGGTATATTTAATTGGAGATTATAATAATGTGTTCATTATTTATTTTGGTCAGTTAAATAATAGCCATTGCCACTTTTTAGTCTTTTAAGACAGAGAAGTAAACTTAACACTTCATGTGCTTCCAATAATGACATTGTTAGCCATTTTTTTAACTGCCATTTAAAGGAATATTGTGAGTAATTTTAATTCATTGAATTAGTAAAATACAATATGTGTTTTTAATCAGAGAAGCATGTTAAATATCATCTAGTTACTGAGATATACCCTCCTTGTGAACTTTTTTTTATGTCTCTTAAATGTGTTTGACAAGTTGTCCCACCATTGTATACTTTCATGCGATGTAAATTTGTCAATATATTAGAAAATGAAATATTATTTATAAAATTATATTTTTCTAGAAAGAACTTAATAAACACTTTTGTTTTAAATCTGTAGTTGATTTTACAATCAAACCTCATACCATCTTTGTTATTAGGATTAAACTTATGAATATGATTTTTTTTAAAATGTTCATTATTATTTTTTTTAAAAACTTAGTCAATTGCATCTTTGTGATAACCTCAGGATTTCTTAATTTTTTTTTGGTGTTGAGTGATTGGTTTGTTCTCTGAGCCAGAATTTTTTAATTGCACACGTTTTCAAAACTGACATCTTATTGGTTTTAAACGTTTGATGAAATGAAATATAAAATAGCATAAAAATCTGAAAAAAAATAACATTTTAAAAAAAAAAGTAAGCTCTGGAAATAGTCCTCAAAATGATTTAACATGATCCATTTAAAAACTGTAGTGCGTAAGAAAAATAGTTAATAGAAAATGATTCAGTTTATAAATAAAATAAAATTATTATAATTATAACTGGTGCTTTAGACAAGATATTATACAAGTTGTAGAAACTAGCGATAACAATATAACACCTCAAGCAACAATAACAATAGTTAATGCATCAACATAAGGTCTTCATCAGAATAATACAGTATAGAATTTTTCTTCTATACTCAGATATAATTGAAGATTATTTAGCAGTTTAATGCTATTTGATTGAATACTGTGACAAAGTCTAGTATTTTATGATGTATTTCAGTTAAAATATTCATTCCCCTAGTAATACTAGTGTTTTGTAGAAAATGTAAATAAACTTTGTTTTTGTTGTTTGTTTTTACATTGTTTGTTTACTTGCTACTCGTCATTACATGTAAGCACCTTCAGTTGATGATACTGTGGTTAGGTTTCCAGAACAGGATCTAGTTTATAATTTTGAAGTCGACTTGTGTGGAAAGATTTATTTTCGAAACTCCAAAAAAATAAGTTTTAATAATTAACGATACTTAGATATTATACATAAATTAATGTGTTATGTAACTAATTTTTTTGTGTGGATAATGCTGGGTGTATAAAGATAAAATTAAATCACAAATTATTTTTTTTCTTTGTATTTTTTAAGTTTTTAATTCTTTACACAAACTGGAGTTAAATAATTATCTCAAGAACCATCCAAACAAAGGGACATAATCGTTTTTCTGCTCTGTTACTTCAAACTTGCTATATTTAAATGTTAACTGTAATTTTTCAATATTTGTTTTGTTAAATGTATAAAAAATAATATTTGTTCCGTTAATCTCTTGCCAGCTATAGGCCTACTCCATAGACAGTGTGCTTCACCTGTTTAAAAAGTGTGAATAGCTAGAGAATGTTTCTTTTTCTCTGTTTTATTTTCATAGTTAACTTTGTTCATCATTCATTGTGTCTGTGTTGAATGCAGCAAATATATAATTCATGATACATTAATACCAATTAACATTTATGATAGATTTGGTTTGACACATCAAAATAATAACAGAAAGGTAATTTTCCAATGAGATAATTACTGGCAGATTATTAAAAACAAGACAAGATTCAAATAAAATCAGGCTATTGACTATAATAGTATAACTAAAGATAAAAATCTTTGTAGGTCTTGTTTTATAAACTCTAATTTTAATGATAAATAATCTTGCAACTACAATGCAATCAACTTTGTTCTCCTGTTCTCACAAGTATTTATTGAGCACAATATTTTTTAGCTATATTTAAATTAGCATTAGTTAAAATTAACAATGTCTTAGAAACATTGTATGACTAAAACAAACACTTCAATTTCTATGAATCAAACTGATTCAGTTATTCAATTTTTACTTATGTTTTTTTAATAAACAGGACCTAGCATTCTCATTAATGGTATCTTAATAAATTCCTTGACACAACAATAAACACATGACTGCGCATTACATAGATGCCAGGAGCTTGGCTAAAGGCTATTGGGTTGTTCTGTATGTAAATATAGCATTCTGAGCATTAGTTTATTATATTTATTCAGACCAATGATACCTTAAATATGAGTATGAGATCTTTATTAAAATTTGAATGACATCAATGAGATGTGTTTCAGTATATATTTATATATATATATATATATATATATATATATATATATATATATATATATATATATATATATATATATATATATATATATATATATATATATATATACACATACATATGTTTATACATATATGTATACAAAGTGTAACATTTTGCAGTGTCTGTTTTGCGTAGCAATATTTTTCTGTAGAGCTAGTCAATTAGGAAATTGTAAAAATAAAAGATAATTCATTGTATGTATATTTTATCAACTTATTGCCCATCTATACATACTGTTACTGTGAGCTTTGTGAAGTACTTGTGCTTTAGACATCATGCTTATAGGTACTACTGAAATAAAACAGGGACAAATACTGTGAGACTTTGTTTTGTAAAAAAAAATATATGCGTGTTTTGTATTGTGGATTGTCGCGTGACTACTGAGTCATGAATTTGGATCCCGTAAGGTCGAGTCGGTAAAGCTCATGGTTGCTAAACCGAAAAGTCTCGAGTTCGAACCCTTGGGTAGATGGGGGCAGCCACTCTTCTAGGAGAAACAACTCCAAAATTAAACAACTGCTGCCTTGTAGTTTGTTCTTGGTTGGACAAAGGCTATGGAAGCAAATCCAAAAAGAAAAGCAGGCTGAAATCGGAGTCAATGGCGCGTAACCAGTTGACACGTATCCTTAATTGTGATGGAGGAGTGGTCGAGTCGGCAAAAGCTCATGGTTGATAAATTCGAAAAAAAAAAAAAATCTCGAGTTCAAACCCTCTGGTAGATAAGGCTCGATCCCTCCCAACTCTGAAAAAAAATAAGAACGAAGAAGAAGGATCCCGTAGGGCGTCTTTAAGTCTATCCAACTGAAAGTAACCTGGACGGCTGGGCATAGTACTGACCACACTATCTCTTCATATGCCGAGGTCACAGAAACAAGTGTACTCTTCTTCACTTGCCCTATAGACCATCAGGTTTGAAAAGGGAACTTTATTTTATTTTATTTTTTCTGTCTTAACTACCGAGCTCCATCTGCCCGGGTGTGCGAACTAGGGACTTAACGGTTTAGCAACCATTATTCTACAACCTTAACACCCCCCCCCCCCCCAAGCGCTACCCCTATCCCCTAGCTGCTAATTAGTTGTGTTTTTTTTTTTTTGAAATATTAATTACATCAATTAAAATGCTTGCAAATTTTTCATTACCTTAACAAGTGCTATAAAAATTATTTTAATCTCAAAGGAAAAATGTAAAAAGTCATAAAATGTTCACAATTTTTAAACTGATCACTGGCCGTGATTCAAGGGTTACCAAATCCTACACATGCTGCGGACAAGGGTTACCAAATCCTACACAGGCTGCGGACAAGGGTTACCAAATCCTACACATGCTGCGGACAAGGGTTACCAAATCCTACACAGGCTGCGGACAAGGGTTACCAAATCCTACACAGGCTGCGGACAAGGGTTACCAAATCCTACACAGGCTGCGGACAAGGGTTACCAAATCCTACACACGCTGCGAAATTTGGAATTGTATCTGTAGTAGATAGGGAGGTTGATGGTGGAGTTGATGACCTCAAATATCATCCGGATGTTACTGACTGTCAGATACAGGAAATTCAACGGAGATCCCAAAGCAAATTCAGGGACGACAACCCCAGCTAAGATAAACATTATCTTGGGCGTGTTGCACAAAATATAAACAAGGGAGATCACTACAATTTGTTTAACGATTTGTCGATCTCTTCCTGAAAGTTTTCCCGAAGATTTCAAAGAAAATTTGTCTTTGGTTCCTGGTTTTTCTACTAATTTTGTGCGGTAGTTTAGTTCTCCGTTGGCAGAAGCCATCCGGAATCTCTGCGCGTTTTTCAACGCACGTGCCATTATGATAATTGATCCAATCGTAATGATCTGGGTCGCGAAAGGCACCGCCATCGCGATCAGCGACCACACGATGTCTTTCACGTTTTCTCGACTGCTCGACACCCACAGAGACGGCCTTGACCTGTTGTGAGCAAGGTCAAATTTGTCTACCATGCCCATGTAAACAAAGACGGGGATATCAACCGCGGTGATGACGAGAAAAAATCCGGACATCAACATGACTGTCGTTTCCCGCCTAAAAGCGTGCTTGAAATACAACGGCAGGGAAACGCAGATGCATCTTACCACGGCTATGAAGCTGGTGTTCACCGCCACAACCGCAGACAGCGGTACCAGCAGGTTGGCGAAGAACAGCCCAACACCGTAAGGTTCCACAGGAAACCAGTAGCCATACTGTACCTCATACACATACACATAACCAGATACGCCCAGGGCAAGGGAAACAACCGCGAAATTAAAATCTGCAATCGCTAAGAAAAGAAACGAAACAGTCATGCCGTCATGAAGGCCCATTATGATGAAGGTTTTTATCGTAAAGCCATTCGCTACAACTCCGAATGCTGCAAATATTATATAAAACACACAGCAAGACTCCATTCCTATAATGTACTGCTCAAATGTAAACAGACTAGCTTGATTCAGCAATCTTGTTATAGTAGAATTGTCCATCGTGAATTTAGGCAAAAGCTGATATACTATGTTTTACAATGAATTCACCGCTGTAAGACTTTCTATACTATACTAGTATCTGTCTGCAAACAATATTTATTTCGTTTTTCATTCAAAAACCAGACGGAATTAAAATTAAATATGTCTGCTTTATGATTATTATTATTTAAAAAATTTATTCAAAGTAAAGCTACAACCAAATTACAATGAACTTCACTTTCAGAATACTAACTTCAGTTAATTATAAACAATTTCAGCAACGATTTGCGTACGGGCACTCATCTTCTGTGTGTTTAAAATGGACTATAATTATGTGTCCCTTTTCATTTAATGTTTACGGTGAAAGCTAATGATAAGATTACTATGGATAAAGAATCAATAAAATTGCTATTCTGTTGTACTTTCAAAATACTTATTTAGCGTTAATAATTACAGATTCTCTTTGGTATTTTATAAACAAATTTGAAAAATCGTTTAGCTTCAAATTAATTTGTATTTGTTAAAAGTAAATTTAAGACATCAATACAAAAAAAAAATGAAAAAAAAAAAAAACAAATTGTTTGTTCAAAAGATAGACTCGTGACGCTTGCATTCTTTTAGTTTTACGAACATATCTTTTCCCTTTCTGTTCAAGAATTCCATTATTGACCACGACGATTTTTTATAACTAGAAGCATGCAGTTAAATAGAAGCCGAGAGTGGTAATTTTCAAATGGATTTTGTTATAAAGCTTTATTTGGTGCTGTACCAGAATTTGTCTTAAGCTTAAACTGAAGCGTTTTAGTTGTAGAAATTTCTTGATGTAGCGATGTGGGATAGTTGGGTAAGGAAGAATTTTTTTTTTCTGTACTGGAAATAGGTACGGTGTGTTTTAGCCACAGGTGTTTTTATCGGGTCTAGGACAAAAGGCCGACATACAAAATGCCGACATGGACAAAAGGCCGATATCAAAAAGGCCTTTTGTCTTGTCTCCCTTTTGGATGCTTGCCTTTTTGATGCCGGCCTTATTTCCTGTCGGCCTGTTGTCATGTCGGACTTTTGTCCATGTCGGACTTTTTTTCCAGATCACGTTTTTACCACAGAGTGATTGAAGTGTGATTTGAGTACAGCAAAAATGAAAATGTGAACATGCGACACAACATAGAAAAAAAATGTGCATTGTTAACAACTCTTTCAGGTATTAAAATCGAAATATATTGTACAAATTGTATTTAGCAAGGAGTTTTGATCATATTACAAATTGCTAAATCCAGACGAGATTCTAGCTCTAGAGAACGTAAAACTGAACAGAGTAACCACTGAGTGAAATATTTTGCGACACGAAAAATACCTTCCATGTTGTTGTATGTGCAAATATCGGAGTATCTAAATTGTTTTACCAACTAACAATTCGCATCAACGTAGAAAACATTGACAAATATGTTCTATCTAAATATTATAAATGTTCACGTTCAGGAGTTATATTTATTGAACCCAAGCCCTTTTAGTTCAATGCATGTTACCGCTTCCAATCACCTTGTCAAATGTCTCCCCACCACCCCCACCCCCTCCCGTTTGTGTTGTTGTTAATCTACATTTTAATAATATCAACATATCATTTTAAAAATAAAATAAACTACTGTGGTGAACGGCTTTTGTACAATACTGTGTCTCTACAAAATCAGACAAGCTATACTCTTGAACACAATATTATTACAAACAAATCACAGACATGAACATGAAAACCTGAACTATTTTTTGTCATATGAACACATTAGTTCTTGTCATTGTGTGATTGGTCATGCGTGTCTTTGTTTTGAGTTGATGGGGGACGAGACTAAACAGACGGATAACATTAGCAACGTAAGGCGTATAACCATGCATAAACGCTCTACGGACCTAGGACTGTACCCCGCTGAGCTGCTCTCAGTCAATACCCCCCTTCCATTGATATTACCCGCCAGATGAGGTACCCCTGTACAATATCCTTCTGTCAATTACCCCCTGTCAACTACCCACCTCTTGTTAATTACCCCCCCCCCAGTCAATTATATATACCCTGCAAATTACCCACCCCTCTCAACTATCCTTCTCTAAATTACCCCCTGTCAATTACCCATTCCTTCAAATTACCCAACCCTACCTATTATTTCCTGTCAAGTATCCATATTCAATTAATTAACTTCTTGTCAATATCCCTTTGTCAATTAAGGAATTATCCCCTGTCAAGTTTCCCTTTAAAATAATCAACTTCTGTCAATTACCCCTGTTAATTACCCATGACACCCTGTTAATTACCCATGACACCCTGTTAATTACCCATGACACCATGTTAATTACCCATGACACCATGTTAATTACCCATGACACCCTGTTAATTACCCATGACACCCTGTTAATTACCCCCATTGTAGTGACACACTTCTCAAGGATTATTATTTGCGTATTCGTTAAACCGAGAAACAGGGGATTCTGTAGAATCGACACGGGTGTAAGGGGGAGGAGGGATGGGTGTTCTGCTCATGTAAAACGGACAGAGCGAATCATGTGTGTAAAATTGACAGGGGGGGGGGGGGGGTTAATATTCTACACCAATGTTACACAACAAGAATTGTACTACGACCAAAAAGGATTAGGCTTAGGAAATATCTTCTCAGATGTCTAATACAAGGACGCCCTGGCTACATCAATTTCTTCTTGCATTCTTCTTGTAGCTAGAACCCTAAAAAAAATACATCACAATTTACCCACTTTGACTCCGCCTTAGATATATAAAAGCAAGGTATTACTTCCGCAAACCATACAGACTTAATAATATTTCAATATGTTATATGTAATATATCATTACCATTTGTTATTTAAATGTATGACTAGTCAGATGAGCGTTTTACTTCACATTTATACGTGTCTAAAATCTATCATTATCATGGCAGATATTGTACCAGCTAAACACTTTTATCTAAATGTATATCTTATAAATCTTTTATTTTTATTACATTTATGATATGCCTATTGCAATATGTACTATACGTACTAATGCAGGGTTTCTATTTGCATACATATAACCACTCTAGACAAATAATAGGGGAGGGCATGACCTAGAGGTAGAGCGCTAGGCTGCCTGCTAACCATTAAGTCTTAAATTTAAATCCGGGTTCAAGTCAGTAGAACTTCCCTGAGTCAACCCAGTTCTGATTCGTACCTGACTCACGTTAAGGAAAGTAAAGGCGGTTGTGCATAATGCTGACCACACTATCCTATCCCCTTATATGTCGATGTTATTAAACAGATGAAATCTATTTCATCTTCCACATCTCCTGAGTAGGAAAAGATGATTATAAGAATGGAACCCAAAGAGACATAAAAATATGCAAACAACTAGTTTTTAACCAAACTAAATGTTGGTAACAAATATTTTATCGTCACAGATCCCCTCTGCTTCTCACAGAGACTGGTTCTAGCCTTTATGGCTTTTGTTGGGAACCTCATGCTCTATACCAGGGGTCTCCAAACGTGACGTATGCAAGCCTGAGTGACGTCATAAGCGTAAACGTCAACGCCGCAGATGACAAGTGCGGCGATGGGAGTGACAGGAACTCTAACGATGTGAGTTCTAGACATTGATTTGATTTGATACACACATACACACACGCACATATACACACACAAGCACGTACGCACGCACACACATATGATTATATATATATGTATATATATATATCTAATATATAAAGCTCAGTTCTGTAACGTGTAGCAAAAAACAAAGTTTGTCGTTGACACTTCTACGGATTTAAGTGTTAGATTTTTTATCGTGCTCACAGTCTAAATTTACGAGTCAAAAAATTACCATTGAAAGTCTTTAAAAACAATTTTCATTCTATTTACTTAGAAGAATAATTTTTAATTATGAACACGACATAAAATTTATAAAAAGGGTATCGACATTTATAAAATTTCTAAAATTGTGTCGGAAATGTATTGACTGCACAGTTACTTCCCTTTAATAAAAAAAATTCTTAAGAAGAAAGAATTTACATTTTATTACTTTGTTTTTGGTGTTAAGAAAAAAAAATAATTACATAATTAGCGGGGATTGATTAAGTGCAATGTCGTTAGGTATTTTTAACACTGCCTTTTATTTATTCTATACACTGAACATACTGTTCAATAATCATTTTTTTTTTAAATCAATAACATTTAATAAGCCAGGTCCTACAAATCCTATATGTTTATTTCTTTCCATTTACGGATAAGCTTGGAGTAAAATTATCATTTTTGTTCACTAAATTGAAACAGGCGCGTCCGCCGGCGCCCTTGCACGGTTCGATTTGGCACCCTGGGCTATCATGTGAGCGCTATGCTGCATAGTTTTGTTTTTAACAGTGCGATAGACTATGGGTAAGAAAGGTTACTATAGTCTTTAAGTGAATCAAATCCGGGCGTCCTCCGGCACCCCGACAGGGTGCTATTTGGCGCCCCGGGCCTTCCGGTGTACGCTATGGTATATACGTTCGCGTGAGTTCAAAAGACTATGAATAAGTTATGTACTATAGTCGTTTACTAAGTTCAATCAGGCGGTGACGTCATGGTGCGTCCTCTGGCGCCCAGACAGGGTGCTATTTGGGGTCCCGGGCCTCCCGTGTTCGGTTTCGCGCCTACGTTCATTAAAGTGAGTGCAAAAGACTATGAATAAGTTGGGGTACTATAGTCGTTTATTAAGCTGAAACAGGCGATTCTGCCCCGGGCTAGACTCTGAGCACTGTGCGTTTATGTTCGCGTTAGTGTTTTCTTTGTGTTTAGGTTGGGTTTGCGTTAGTGGTTGCGTTTTGATTTGGTTCGTTTTTGTTCTTTCTTTTTTCGTTTTCGTTTGTGTTTTATTTTCTTTGCGTTTGTGTTTGTATTTGTGTTTGTGGTTGGTTTTGCGTTTGTATTTGGTTTGTTTTCGTTTGTTTTTTCGTTTGTGTTTTTTTCTTTGGGTTTGTGGTTGGTTTTGCATTTGGATTTGGTTTGTTTTCTTTTGCTTTTTCGTTTGTTGTTTTCTTTGTGTTCGTATTGGTGTTTGTGGTTGTGGTTGGGTTAGTTGTTAGGTTTTTGTTTTTGTTTGTATTTGTAATTGTGTTAGCGTTATGTTTGCGTTTTGTTGTTTTGGTTTTGGTTTGGGTGTGCAATGCCGGGTTTATGATGATTACTAAACACTCAGGTAATGGTCTTTAACAGAAAGGTTTTTCACAGAAGCCAGAGCAGGGCCTGGCCGGGACGGCTAGTATATATATATATATATATATATATATATATATATATATATATATATATATATATATATATATATATATATCGTTTCTAACTATTCTAATGACGTAAAATTGTGCTTTAAACATTGTATATATTACATTTTATGAATTAAATTATATATTACATTTTATATATTAAATTATATATTAAATTTTATATATTAAATTTTAAAGTGACAAACGCACTGGCGACATTAGCAGTAGGTTCACTTGAAACAGCTATTTTTGTGCAGATGTATGGTAGGGAAGGGGATAATAACACTCTTATGAAGTCTTATTCTCCTTACGCTACTATAATACAAGATCAAATAACACTCCACTTTTTCGACCATCAATAAATATTCATTGCTTCGTTACACAATTGTAAGAAATGATGGACTAATGAATAGATCTCCCCTAAGGCTGCGTTTACACTATACGTCGGCAGACCGAATTTTTTCATCTGACGTCAGGTGTTGTCCAATCTGCCGAAGAGGGGTGCGCCCCAGCGGTTACACTGTAGCCCGTCAGAACGTATGTCTGACCACCGGCAGGCATTGGTTTCAATACAAAAAATCGACGAACAAATGCAGATTCATTTTTTGGCAGAAAACAATGATGCTTCCAAAATTATATTGCTTAATGAAAAGGAAAGAGAAAATCATATAGGAAATGCATTTCTCCAAAGAAACGCTTGGCTTTGACATTGAGGTAAGTGTCTTTGTACAGTTAATTCTTATTAAATAAGATATTTTGTTACAGTAAGTTGAGTAAGGCCTATTCTAAATACCATTAATTATTACAATTGTGTGTTCTATGTAATCTATACATTTAAAACAAGTAAAATCTAAGTTATAAATTTGGTTGCAATACTTCAGTAGTGGGGAGTAGATCTATTCTATAAGGTCTCAATTCTATGTTCTGGCCTGTTATTAGTGCTAAATTAAAATAATTTCATTTACAGATAGGCCCCTCATTACAACTGGATTGGCTCCTCACTACAACTGGATTGGCCTACTAATATTGAATTGTCCATTCACCTATCACCACAATTATCTATGAGACGTGATATTATGTGGAGATGCCTCACTAAAAAGCATGTACCATTACCAACAGCAGCAATGTGCCAAGGCCTCTGAAGACTGAAGACACCATCTGAAGTATTATGGAGCATGTTGAATTTGATATTTAATTGAAATAAACTTCTTTTTGTTATGTTTGTTTTATTTGTATTATTCATAGATAATAATAAAATCATTGGCCAAATCACCAGATCAATAATTCCTACTAGTTAGGGCTACTTGACTACTTTGACTTAGTCCTCCTTGCTCCTTATAGAACATAGGGCCTCCACCATTTCCACCGTTAGGCCTACTAGTTAGACTTAATTTTCTAACTCAATGTCAGCTACATGTTAGATTGTTACAAACTAAGATGGTATTGGTTTTTGATCATTTAAAAAGCATAATTCATGGTTTTAATTTATTAAGCAAATCTGTAAAACATGTTTGAATAGCATTATTAACAGAAATACATCTCATAAGACACAGGCCTCATTGAATTATTATTTTAACTACTGGTATAGGCAATACTCCATTACAATTTAGGCCTGCATTTGAAGACCTCTTAAAAAATAAAACAGTAAACAACATACATTTTTCAATTAATTTTTTTATTCAGGCATAACACAAAATTAATTAATCCTGGGTCAGGATCTTTAGCAATTGCTTCTTCCACAACTTGACTACAATTTGAATCAGTGTCATCAAAAAAGATATCTTTTAAACAATGGTTTCACTCGATACTGAATTGAAGTTGAAGGTACCTGTATGCTGCTTATCGTTTGCTTAGAAGCGAAACAATCATTCATAAAGGATAATTGATTATAATATATCCATGGTTTGTTTGGAGCTATACTGCCAGTTACTCTTTTGTTGCTAATCTTGATATGCTCCTTACTTTCTAAATGTATCAAGCAGGTTTTTCCACTTGGTTTTTGGCTTGTGCACCTGAAATGAATTAAATATGAACATCAGTTTAGACTGATTGTAACTTTCATGTGTTGGATACATATAATTTATATATGTATAATTTATATACTTTTCTATCATAGTTATCTAATTGTCTGGGCCTAAGCCTAGATCTTGATTCCTATAGACAGTTATATAGATCTAGTAATATATAGTAACATTACAGTACAGGAATCTAGATCTATACTCTGAATGTAGATTAGATTTAGGCCTATTAACATAAATTTAATTATTAATCTCAAAATAGATTCAAAGAAAATAGAATAAATTTAAATATTGGCCTATACTATTATACTTTATACATAATATATAGGCCTAATAATAATATAAATATAGACCTACCAATAGTCCTATAGATTAGATAATAATATACATAGATCTAGAAATCTAGATTGAATCATAGAATACTAGAAAAATAGATCTATGTCATAGATTCTAGATATTAGACAGAATTTAGATAGGCCTAGCCTAGGATGAAAGATTCAATTTTAGAACCTAGAGTGAGTCTTGAGTCTAGAGAATATTAAATTCAATGAGTAGATCTAGGCCCTATTATTTAATAGGCCTAACTAATTATTTTACTAATTATTACTAGACTAGACCCTAGATCTAGAATCTAATCTAGATCTAGGATCTATTTTGAGATTACTGATTACTTACTTTTCTATAACTTAGTCTTAGCCCTTCTAACCCTCTTAGTAGTCTTAGCCTAAAGTTAATCTTTAATCTTAGTCTAGTCTTAGGTCTTAGAATCTTAGATCGATGACGAGATCTAGATTCTGGATTAGATCTAGATCTAGACTCTAGATCTAGATCTAGAGTCTAGTAGTAGAGTCTAGATTAGAAATCTAGATCTAGAATCTAGATCTGAATTCTACTTCAGTACTTTTAATCAAGATCTAGATTCTAGATCTAGATCTAGAATCTAGATTCACTCTAGACTCTAGAAAAAAGAATTAATAGGTCTAGATGTAGTTATCTAGATCTAGATCTAGATCTAGATTCTAGAATCTAGAAATTGTGTAGAAATCTTCTACGCGAGTTGAGTGTGAGTGAGAGTCGATAAGCAAAAAAAAATTTGAATGAATGATAAAAATTAATAAATGAAGTGAATAAGTGAAATAAATTACTTAACTTGTACATCCGAGTTAATCGGCTATTTCAGACCTTTAATTTTCTCTCCCGAATAAGTAAAAATCAGCTTCTCTGTGTCAAATACTACAACTTTCTGTTCAAACCGAAGGCCTCCATTTTATTTTTTGTTTATCCCTGCCAGATAAATTTTCATCAGAATGTGTTTTCCGTCAGAACAGAAACAAAATTTTAAGTTCATCATCAGGCGCCTGACGTAGTCTGACGACTCGGACGATGAGATCGGCTCAAGTGTAACCAATAGAACTGGGTTATACTTTTTGTTTGCTTTCCAGTTGTTCGGCCTTGTTGTCAGAAACAGAAATTCGGTCTGCCGACGTGTAGTGTAAACGCAGCCTTACTGATACTGGTTTGTTTAAAGTGAAATACTCAAGGGAGACAATATAAAATATTTTGAAAAATATTTTAAAAATTAAAGCATTGTAATAATTAAACCAAAATGCAAATATTATCAAATACATTTTTGACTGCACAATATTGTTGATCAAAAACATGGATATTTTAAATGTTTATTTTCTGTTATTATTATAAATCTTATCAATTTAATAAACAATTTCACTTTACTTTAGTTATAAAATTTTTATTTTATTCATTCCTTTTTACTCATTTAAATTATTAAGGTTGGTATTTAACTGTGTTTATCTCTTCGGTCAATTTTAAATAAGCTTCATAATAAAATATCATCCTCTTAAACTAACTGTCCTCCAGAGAAATACAAAACTGCAACGCTCAACTAAAGCAAATATGTCCGGTACTGTCATGTTTGTTTAATTACAAAATATTCTTGATAAAAATTACGCAATAGTATACGCTTATTTAGAAAACATAATTACATATGAATCAATATTCCTTTGTGCTTTTAAATTAATGAAAATTGTTAGAAAGATTTTATTGAAAAATATCTTTAAACAAATGTCTTCGTATTAGAAATGAACATGATGCTTTTTGTTTTCCAACACTAGAGAGCTGAGTTTAATTGGAGCAAAAGCACTCAGTCTGAGCTTCTGTCTATGTACTTCTATGGCTACATCTTCACACAGATACCAAGTAAGGGAAATATTGTTTTACTTTACTTTAAATTTTCCTTTACTTGTGTGTTCCTTTGATGTACTTTCACGAGAGTGGCTGGGGTTTACAGTGGCGTAGGCAGGGTGGGGGGGGGGGGGTTTAGTGGGGGTTCATAATCCCCCATAGACCCCTCGGTATATATATATATATATATATATATATATATATATATATATATATATATATATATATATATATATATATATATATATATATATATATATATATATATATATATATATATATATATATATATATATATATATATATAAAAAGTATGAGGGGAGGGGTGCAAATCGAAAGTTTGAGGAGGGGGGTGTAAATCAAAAGTTTGAGTGGGGGGGGGGGGGTGCAAATCGAAAGTTTGTCCCCGGGTAAAAATTTGAACCCCCCCCCCCCCCCCCCATGAGACGATCCTGGCTACGCTACTGGGGGTTGGGTCCAAGGCCACGTACACATTATATTTTTACTTCATGTCTCAAGGTAGGCGGATAATGCACAGCTTATTTATTTTTGTCGTGCAATGACCTATGACCTCTCAAGGACACAGGAAGAAAAACAACCTTAACATGGCAGTTGTGTTATATTATTAGATACCTCCCACTTTGACTGTTAGAAAAAACACACCTAGATTGATGAAATGAGAATGTTAACATTATCTAACTTTATATGCTGATATCCTAAACGGCAACTTCTCAACTGCGGATTCAAATTGAGCCTAACAAATACAATGTTTCACCATGGTAGAAGTTGTTAAAGGTAAACCTTTTTATCTGTAGTTACACCTTGCTCGTTTACACATGACTGTTTACTAAAGTCTTAACTTCTATTTTATCACTACTAAAGAAAATTAAGGACATAGGTTTAAAATATCACCGCTAGTCAGTGCTTGCTGTGGATACACACCTGCTTAATTTTTTTGTGTCAACATTTTAAAATATATTTTTTTACACTGTTAACTAAGTATATTTCATACTTGTGTGTTTCATACTTGTGTATGTTTTTCATACTTGTGTGTGTTTCATACATGTGTGTGTTTCATACTTGTGTGTGTTTCATACTTGTGTGTGTTTCATAGGTGTGTGTGTTTCATACTTGTGTGTATGTTTCATACGTGTGTGTGTTTCATACTTGTGTGTGTGTTTCATACTTGTGTGTAAGTTTCATACTTGTGTGTGTTTCATAATTGGGTGTGTGTTTCATACTTGTGTGTTGCATACTTGTGTGTGTTTCATATTTGTTTGTGTGTTTCATACTTGAGTGTGTTTCATACGTGTGTGTGTGTTTCATACGTGTGTTTGTGTTTCATACGTGAGTGTGTGTTTCATACTTGTGTGTGTTACATACTTGTTTGTTTCATACTTATGTGTGTGTTTCATACTTGTGTGTGTTTCATACTTGTGTGTGTTTCATACTAGTGTGTATTTCATACTTGTGTGTGTGTTTCATACTAGTGTGTATTTCATACTTGTGTGTGTTTCATACTAGTGTGTATTTCATACTTGTGTGTGTTTCATACTAGTGTGTATTTCATACTTGTGTGTGTGCTGCATACCTGTGTGTGTTTCATACTTGTGTGTATTTCATACTTGTTAAGGTTTCATACTTGTGTGTTTTTCATACTTGTGTGTGTGTTTCATACGTGTGTTTGTGTTTCATACGTGAGTGTGTGTTTCATACTTGTGTGTGTTACATACTTGTTTGTTTCATACTTATGTGTGTGTTTCATACTTGTGTGTGTTTCATACTTGTGTGTGTTTCATACTAGTGTGTATTTCATACTTGTGTGTGTGTTTCATACTAGTGTGTATTTCATACTTGTGTGTGTTTCATACTAGTGTGTATTTCATACTTGTGTGTGTTTCATACTAGTGTGTATTTCATACTTGTGTGTGTGCTGCATACCTGTGTGTGTTTCATACTTGTGTGTATTTCATACTTGTTAAGGTTTCATACTTGTGTGTTTTTCATACTTGTGTGTGTGTTTCATACTGGTGTGTGTGTTTCATACTTGTGTGTGTGTTTCATACTTGTGTGTTTTTCATACTTGTGTGTGTGTTTCATACTGGTGTGTGTGTTTCATACTTGTGTGTGTTTCATACTTGTGTGTGTGTTTCATATTTGTGTGTGTTTCATAATTGTGTGTGTTTCATACTTGTGTGTGTTTCATACTTGTGTGTGTGTTTCATATTTGTGTGTGTATCATAATTGTGTGTGTTTCATACTTGTGCGTGTGTTTCATACTTGTGTGTGTGTGTTTCATACTAGTGTGTGTGTTTCATACTTGTGTGTATTTCATACTTGTTAAGGTTTCATACTTGTGTGTTTTTCATACTTGTGTGTGTGTTTCATACTGGTGTGTGTGTTTCATACTTGTGTGTGTGTTTCATACTTGTGTGTTTTTCATACTTGTGTGTGTGTTTCATACTGGTGTGTGTGTTTCATACTTGTGTGTGTTTCATACTTGTGTGTGTGTTTCATATTTGTGTGTGTTTCATAATTGTGTGTGTTTCATACTTGTGTGTGTTTCATACTTGTGTGTGTGTTTCATATTTGTGTGTGTATCATAATTGTGTGTGTTTCATACTTGTGCGTGTGTTTCATACTTGTGTGTGTGTTTCATACTTGTGTGTGTGTTTCATACTTGTGTGTGTGTTTCATATTTGTGTGTGTATCATAATTGTGTGTGTTTCATACTTGTGTGTGTGTTTTATACTTGTGTGTGTTTCATACTTGTGGGTGTTTCAAAATCTTCTGTGTATTTCATACAATATGTTTATTTCATACATTTATGTGTTTTTCATACTTGTGTGTGTGTTTCATACTGGTGTGTGTGTTTCATACTTGTGTGTGTGTTTCATACTTGTGTGTTTTTCATACTTGTGTGTGTGTTTCATACTGGTGTGTGTGTTTCATACTTGTGTGTGTTTCATACTTGTGTGTGTGTTTCATATTTGTGTGTGTTTCATAATTGTGTGTGTTTCATACTTGTGTGTGTTTCATACTTGTGTGTGTGTGTGTTTCATATTTGTGTGTGTATCATAATTGTATGTGTTTCATACTGGTGTGTGTGTTTCATACTTGTGTGTGTGTTTCATACTTGTGTGTTTTTCATACTTGTGTGTGTGTTTCATACTGGTGTGTGTGTTTCATACTTGTGTGTGTTTCATACTTGTGTGTGTGTTTCATATTTGTGTGTGTTTCATAATTGTGTGTGTTTCATACTTGTGTGTGTTTCATACTTGTGTGTGTGTTTCATATTTGTGTGTGTATCATAATTGTGTGTGTTTCATACTTGTGCGTGTGTTTCATACTTGTGTGTGTGTGTTTCATACTAGTGTGTGTGTTTCATACTTGTGTGTATTTCATACTTGTGTGTGTGTTTCATACTGGTGTGTGTGTTTCATACTTGTGTGTGTGTTTCATACTTGTGTGTTTTTCATACTTGTGTGTGTGTTTCATACTGGTGTGTGTGTTTCATACTTGTGTGTGTTTCATACTTGTGTGTGTGTTTCATATTTGTGTGTGTTTCATACTTGTGTGTGTGTTTCATATTTGTGTGTGTATCATAATTGTGTGTGTTTCATACTTGTGCGTGTGTTTCATACTTGTGTGTGTGTGTTTCATACTAGTGTGTGTGTTTCATACTTGTGTGTATTTCATACTTGTTAAGGTTTCATACTTGTGTGTTTTTCATACTTGTGTGTGTGTTTCATACTGGTGTGTGTGTTTCATACTTGTGTGTGTGTTTCATACTTGTGTGTTTTTCATACTTGTGTGTGTTTCATACTGGTGTGTGTGTTTCATACTTGTGTGTGTTTCATTCTTGTGTGTGTGTTTCATATTTGTGTGTGTTTCATAATTGTGTGTGTTTCATACTTGTGTGTGTTTCATACTTGTGTGTGTGTTTCATATTTGTGTGTGTATCATAATTGTGTGTGTTTCATACTTGTGCGTGTGTTTCATACTTGTGTGTGTGTTTCATACTTGTGTGTGTGTTTCATACTTGTGTGTGTGTTTCATATTTGTGTGTGTATCATAATTGTGTGTGTTTCATACTTGTGTGTGTGTTTTATACTTGTGTGTGTTTCATACTTGTGGGTGTTTCAAAATCTTCTGTGTATTTCATACAATATGTTTATTTCATACATTTATGTGTTTTTCATACTTGTGTGTGTGTTTCATACTGGTGTGTGTGTTTCATACTTGTGTGTGTGTTTCATACTTGTGTGTTTTTCATACTTGTGTGTGTGTTTCATACTGGTGTGTGTGTTTCATACTTGTGTGTGTTTCATACTTGTGTGTGTGTTTCATATTTGTGTGTGTTTCATAATTGTGTGTGTTTCATACTTGTGTGTGTTTCATACTTGTGTGTGTGTGTGTTTCATATTTGTGTGTGTATCATAATTGTATGTGTTTCATTCTTGTGTGTGTGTTTCATACGTGTGTGTGTGTTTCATACTTGTGTGTGTGTGTTTCATACTTGTGTGTGTTTCATACTTGTGTGTGTTTCAAAATCTTCTGTGTATTTCATACAATATGTTTATTTCATATATTTCTGTGACTTTCATACACCTCTGTGTATTGCACACACCTCGGTGTATTTCATACACTTCTGTGACATTGTGGAACGGTAGGGTCAAGCGATAGAGCGAAATATCGCTAAACCAAAATACTCAAGATCAGATGCTAAACGTGAACCAGTACGAAGTCCCTGAGTCCTCTCAGCTGTGATGGGTACCTGACTCACTTTAGGGAATGCAAATGCCAATTGTCAGAGAACTGACCACACTGTCTCTTCATTTGCCTTGTTAACAGAACAGGTGAACTCTACTTCACATTCCATGTTGAGTCACGGGTCCGAAATGATAATTTAAAAAAAAGATATTTTAAGGATAGTATGTCTATGTGACAAGGATAGTATGTCTATGTGACTAGGATAGTATGTCTATGTGACAAGGATAGTTGTCTTTTTGACAAGGAAAGTATGTCGATATGACAAGGATAGTTGTCTTTTTGACAACGGTAGTCTATGTAACAAGGATATTCAGTCTATGTGACAAATCCCTGTAGCACCGACTGACGTTTAATTTAATTGAAAAAGATAACGTCAAATACATGGGACAATCTACAAATTATGTATCTTTGTTAATTGAAGCGTTCCTATTGTATCTGGAATTTCACTAAGGAATAGTTTGGCATTTCCTTTCTTTGTGAAAAACAAACGTCGACCGACAAATACGTATCCTTTCTTCTAATCTAAAAACGGATCAACATATTTCTACTTCCATCTATTGACTAATTGAGTGAATTTGTTTATTGCTCGTAATATCGTCTCAAATAGTTCGGAGTAATGTTAGCCTTTAAGACCTAACGATCCATAGGGCTAACGAAGAAGAGTTCATATTTTCTTGACCTCTTGTGTAAGTAAAAATAGATTCAACTTCAATAGCACAATGATCGTAATTAAGAACTAAATTAGATTTTAATAATTGTGTTTGTAATTATCTAAAAAATTGCTCATTTCAATTCATCATCTTTTTCCGTTCGTGCCCAAGACTTATGGGACAGATGAAGTAGAGTTCATGTATTTCACTTACCTTCATCAGCTTACAAGGGGAGAGCGTGATCAGAACTATGCCGAGCCGCCCATATTTATCTAACGAGAATCAGGTACCTATAAGAGCTGGGTGGACTCAGAGACGTTCTACGGACTCGAGCCTGGGACAGAGGCGTAGCGACCCTTCCCGGCGCCCGGGGACAAACTTTGGATTTGCACCCCCCCCCCTCGAACACTTTCGATTTGCACCCCCCCCCCCCCACACCTCGAACTTTCGATTTGCACCCCCCCCCCCTCAAACTTTTGATTTACACATCCGCCCTCGACCTTTCAATTTGTTTTTGCAACCTATTTTGGCGCCTCCCTAGGGTTGGCGCCCGGGGACATATCCCCCCCCCTCGCTACGCTTCTGGCCTGGGATCCGAACTCGAGACTTTCGTGTTAGTAGTCTAGCGCTCTACTGCTACGCCATACCGTCCCCACTATTACCTCATCATCATCATCATCATCATCATCATTCCTATCACTATTACCTACAGCTTTGTAATCGCACCCCTCTCCCCCCAGCGCCCCTCTTCTGCTCCCAGAGGCTGGTCCTCGCCTTCCTGGCTTTTATAGGCAACGTCCTGATCTACACAACCCGAGTCAACATCTCTGTCGCCATCATCTGTATGGTGAGGAACACGCCCCTCAACGTCACGTCCGCCAACCTGAGTCACGTCACTTCCGGCAACGTCACGGATGACGTGTGTGGCGGGGATAGTGACGTAGACGTGGACAAGAACACAAGCGATGTGAGTTCGAGAACTTAACATATCAGGGAAATAACATTTGGTTACAACCACAAAACTTATTTGCGTTTTATTTATATGCGGTTATTTTGTAATTAGGTGTTTGATTTTTTGAATAACTAAAATTTGTTTTCCCCACACTAGAGAGCTGAGTTTGATTGGAGCAAAAGCACTCGGTCTGAGCTTCTGTCTATGTACTTCTATGGCTACATCTTCACTCAGATACCAAGTAAGGGAAATGTCCTATTATATAGATTTCGAGGCGAATCTTACTTTACTAAATCCTTTTTTAACTCCCTTTGTTTCTCTGTCGAATGTAGATATCATGTTTATGCTTCATGTCTTCTAGTTTGATTTCCTCGTGTCTAAAAACTGATAACCTGTTAGCGTGATTCTATGCTCGTGTTTATACCTATAGTTTGATGTGTAGTACCTGATATATATATATATATATATATATATATATATATATATATATATATATATATATATATATATATAAATATATATATATATATATATATATATATATATATATATATATATATATATATATATATATATATATATATATATATATATATATAAAGGAATTATGATCATAAAATTTAAAAAAAAAACACTTGTAATCCAAATAGTATTATTTCAACGAAAAGGATTGTGTTACATTGATATTAAGCCTAGTTATATGTTTAAAAATCATTCATGCTTTATAATAAAATATGGTTACGGCAATAGGTTTTGAATTCTGAATATTGTATCGTATTTTCTCTGTTCTGAAAAAATAGGTTAATGGAATGGGGCTGGGGGGGGGGGGTGTCTATGATATCATCTAATCTTCTTGTGTCCTTTAATGACTTAATCCCAAATGCCATTTATCAAGTGTGTTCTCTAATGTAAGATACGTGCACCTTACCTCAGGTGGGTGGCTGGCGTCCAGGTACGGCGGTAAAAGAGTCTGGGGTGTGGCCATGTTTTTCTGTGCCCTGTGCACGCTCTTGACGCCCGTGAGTGCTAGAACGCACGTGTACCTCGTGTACGCTATACGCTTTATCCTGGGATTTGCCGCGGTGAGTACTTGATTAACAAGATCTGTTAAACATCAAACTAAAAACCTTATGCTAAAGCCGTAAATTTACACATGGACACACCAAAGTAGTTAGGTTAATCTAACAACTAATTAGTAAAGGGAGCTCATGTTAATTTTAACATTGTGCTTTACAAATCTCAGGGGGTTACCTTCCCATGTGTGCATGCGATGCTGGGAAAATGGACACCACCATTTGAGAGAAGTAAAATGACATCCTACACATTTGCAGGTAGTTTACAAATATCGTAACTGAGTCAGTATATTAATACTATTAAATTATTAGCATAATCAGTGCTCACTTAAAATTTCCAACCCTATTTGATATCAGTATGGGACGGCGTGGCCTAGCGGTGGAGCGCAAGACTGCTAACCCGATAGTTTCGGGTTCGAATCCGTGTTCAATTTAGTGAAATGTCCCTGAGTCCACCCCACTCTCATGGGTAGCTAACTCACGTTAGGGAAAGTAAAGGCGGCTGGGCAAAGTGCTGACCACTTTATACCTTTATATTCAGAAGTCGAGAATCATATAAACTCCACTTCATCAGCCCAATGGATCGTAAGATCTGAAGAGGAATCTTTACTTTTATTTGATAACAGTGCTGACAATTCTGCGTACATCTGACTGAAATTTACAGCGCTCATTTTGTGTTCAGGTCCTTTAGTGGGAAACATCGCGACGTTTTCAATATCCGGGCTACTTTGCCAGTACGGGTTCGACAACGGCTGGGGCTCCATCTTTTACTTGTCAGGTAAGTTTCTCATTCAAGTGACTAAAGTTAGTCATTTAGAGTAAACACATAGTTTAAATGTGAAACTTAGAAATTATAATCGCCTGCTTTCATATAATCTTTTTCGTTTTGTAAATATTTTAATAAGACAATGTTAAGACATACACTTTTTACATCAAACATTTAACGATAAACAGTTTGGTAGTTGCGTTATTTAATAAAACCTATCGTTTCATAACATACTTGGTGGTTGCAGACATATAGGGAAGGGGGTGGTTAGAATATACTCTCCTTTTTCAACCTTAAATAGTAGCACCTCCAACTCCAAACAGTTCTCATTAGGCGATTTGTTTACTATTTGTTAGGTGTCGTTCCCCAGGCGAAGAGAGTCTAGACTATGAGACCAGGTTATGTAGAAAGAGAGGCGTTGCGAAAGCGTTAATGCCAAGTAGGATGCTTAAGTTATAAATTATTGGGTTAAAAAATAAATAGATTTATGTCACAACAAAAAAAAAAACACTTTCATACTATTACATTCATATTGATGGAACAGATATTTAAATCTCATTTTTTTTGTGAGATCTGCCCTACAAACAAACAATTCAAACTTAACTGATGGATCAAAAACAAACCTCAATTCTCATTGTGTGGTAGTCACTTTAAATAAACAACATAATCGATAAGGTTCAAATGAATCAGATGAAGAATAGTTGTGTAAAATGTTTAGAACATGTGTCTACTCCCCCTTTATTCCGCCTACACCTCACTCTAGCCACATCTCACTTCACCCACCACTTACTCCACCCACTTTCACTCCACCCACCCTTCACTCCACTCCCTCACTCCACACACCCGTCACTCTATCCACCCGTCACTCTTCCCACCTTCACTCCATCCTCCACTCACTCCACCCACTACTCACTCTTCCCACTACCAACTCTACCCACTACTCAATCCACCCACCACTAACTCCACCCACCACTCACTCCACCCACCCCACACTCAACCCACCACTCACTCTACCCACCCCCATCCCCCCACCCCCCAGGTCTGTTCAACATGCTGTGGGTTGTCCTCTGGTTTCTCTTCACGGCCGACACCCCAGCTAAACACAGGTTCATCACGGAGAGGGAGAAGTTCTACATCCAGGCTTCCATAGGCAGAGGCGACGTCAAGAAGGTAAGGGAGAAGTTCTACATCGAGGCTTCCATAGGCAGAGGCGACGTCAAGAAGGTAAGGGAGAAGTTCTACATCGAGGCTTCCATAGGCAGAGGCGACGTCAAGAAGGTAAGGGAGAAGTTCTACATCGAGGCTTCCATAGGCAGAGGCGACGTCAAGAAGGTAAGGGAGAAGTTCTACATCGAGGCTTCCATAGGCAGAGGCGACGTCAAGAAGGTAAGGGAGAAGTTCTACATCGAGGCTTCCATAGGCAGAGGCGACGTCAAGAAGGTATGGGAGAAGTTCTACATCGAGGCTTCCATAGGCAGAGGCGACGTCAAGAAGGTAAGGGAGAAGTTGTACATCGAGGCTTCCACAGGCAGAGGCGACGTCAAGAAGGTAAGGGAGAAGTTCTACATCGAGGCTTCCATAGGCAGAGGCGACGTCAAGAAGGTAAGGGAGAAGTTCTACATCGAGGCTTCCATAGGCAGAGGCGACGTCAAGAAGGTAAGGGAAAAGTTCTACATCGAGGCTTCCATAGGCAGAGGCGACGTCAAGAAGGCAGGGGCGGAACTACAGTGCCGCCAGACCCCGCAATGCGGGGGGGCCCACGCCATTTAGGGGCCCTCAGCCGACCATAATAATTTTTATATAGTTTTAAAAAAATCTAATTTTCTTGCATTTTTGACTTGATGGTTGTTTTGTAAAACGATTACCGTAGCTGCGGTTTTATTATCTTCATTCTATAGACACCACCCCACGCTCTTGTATATTCTTTTTCCCTTTGTTTTTAAACAACTGTGAAAGCTGAGTCCTCTCTCTCTCCTACAATTAAACTAAACAAAGATAAGTAAACGTTCAAACCACTTCCATGACTTATTTCCCTTTTTTAAATAGTCAAATAGGGGTGCTCATAAGCACCTTTTAATAGATCTGTACTAAACGAATTAGAAAGCAATTACTTCTCTTAATTATTATTTTTTTTATAAAGTACTTACTAAAGAGTGACGTTGTAAAAAAAGGAAATTTGTTTAAAATTAATAATATAAATAGAAAAAAAAAACATAAAAATAATCATAACGCGAGACACCATTACTTCTACAAAGCTTTCATGTTTTATATTCTTTTGGCCGACTAAATGTAAAGTAGATCTATAACGCAGATGAAAATAAAATGATTTTCTTCAAAACACACTAATGCACTTACTCACTTGACATGATGTAGTAATGTGTTTTAATTTAAAAAAAAAAACAATATTGTTTTTTCAAAACCCGAAAAGGCCAGTAATGGGTATCCTATGTTAGTATTTTGTATATATATATATATATATATATATATATATATATATATATATATATATATATATATATATATATATATATATATATATATATATATATATATATATATATATATATATATATATATATATATATATATATATATAGGGCCCTATATATATATGGGAGGGGGGGGGGGGGCCTAAAAAATTTTTTTTGCGGGGTGGCCCTTTTTTTCTAGTTCCGCCACTGCAAGAAGGTAGGCTCTATAACTTGTTCTTTTGTTACAACTATGTTAAATGGTCAATGTAGCTATTAGTACATTTTTTTTTTACTTTCTCGTAAATGAAGCATAGACGAAGTATTTTAATCGTGCCAAAAAATTAAAAGATCTTATTTTCTGCCTTCTGCAGAATTTTGAGTAATTTCCGTTAACCGGAAGTAGTAATTTACGTTATTTCCGATTTCTCCAAAAACGCATGTTAATTTATAAAGTACTAATAATATTCCGCACTATTATACATAATAATATATTGTTTAGCGTTCACTTGGTGCGCAATTCTTTTTGCTACGAGATTCTATTATATTTTAAAAAGTTTAAGTAATTTAAAATGGATTAAAAATCATTTCTATATCCCGAGTTGCCATCCCCCGTAGAGTTATATAAGAATATTCAAGAAAATTTAGGGGAGATCACTCCCGGTTTATTTACAATATTTTGGCAAAACAAAACTTACAACAGTTTTGTTGTAACTTTTATCCAGGTCAATCGGACGCCTTGGGTGCCAATGTTTACATCCGGTCCCCTGTGGGCAATCATTACTGCTCACACGTGCAACAACTACGTCAACTACACACTATTGACGTCACTTCCGCTTTACATGAAAGAAAGCTTGAACTTTGATATTAAACAGGCTAGTTGCACTTTCATTTATACAATTTTTAGGGGTAATCAACTGTAGTATTTAAACAACCGATTTTGGAACTTTCTAAAAAAAAAAAGAAAGATAATGTATGTATTATTTGCCAGAACGGGCTTCTGTCTGCCCTGCTCTATGTGTGCCAGTTCGTCTCTTCTATTGCCGGGGGTTACGCCGCTGACACATTCAGAGAGAAGGGCTGGATGTCTACAAGAACAGTCAGAAGGTCTTTCCAGTTCACATGTAAGTGGGGCAGTCAGGTCTTTCCATTTACATGTAAGTGGGAAAGTCAAAAGGTCTTTCCAGTTTACATGTAAGTGTAAGTGGGACAGTCAGGAGGTCTTTCCAGTTTACATGTAAGTGGGACAGTCAGAAGGTCTTTCCAGTTTACATGTAAGTGGGACAGTCAGAAGGTCTTTCCAGTTTACATGTAAGTGGGAAAGTCAAAAGGTCTTTCCAGTTTACATGTAAGTGGGACAGTCAGAAGGTCTTTCCATTTACATGTAAGTGGGAAAGTCAGAAGGTCTTTCCAGTTTACATGTAAGTGGGACAGTCAGAAGGTCTTTCCAGTTTACATGTAAGTGTAAGTAGGGCAGTCAGAAGGTCTTTCCAGTTTACATGTAAGTGGGACAGTCAGAAGGTCTTTCCAGTTTACATGTAAGTGGGACAGTCAGAAGGTCTTTCCAGTTTACATGTAAGTGTAAGTGGGGCAGTCAGAAGGTCCTTACAGTTTACATGTAAGTGTAAGTGGCTGGGACAGTTAGAAGATCAATTTCCGATTTTTGTTTCAAATTTGTAAAACACGTCTAAAGCATTTTTAGATTAAATTGGTAAGCACATTCCAAAGAGAGTTTGGATGATAAATAATGTGTTTTTCTTTCCCCAGCTTTAGTAGGAACCGCCATTTGTATCGCCAGTGTTGGTCAGATGAGCTGTGAACACCGCCATATTGCCGTGGCTTTGTTGTGCTTGTGTACATCCTTCATGGGCCTCAACAGGTCCGGCTATTGCGCCAATCATTTAGACCTGGCTCCAAGGTATATGGTACTTGGTTTGTTTTGTTTTCTTTTCTTTTCTTTTATAATTATTGCTAGTTTTAAAGTTTACGCACTCTAACCCTAGTGTGCTTCTGCTTATCTAGGAATTCCATATTACAAGAGGATATTGTCTCTTCTCATTGTGTCCTATTCAGCGCCAAATGTCATGCACCTAATTTCTTCTTTAGCCACCCATTATAATTGCTAATTATGTAAATTTCTGATTTGACAGTGGCAGATTAGGCCTTGGTTCAAAAAAATAAAATATGTATGACTGGTTTGATTTGGGTTTATGTTTGAATTGATTGTAATTTATACAACGGTATTATTTCTTTCAGTTACGCTGGGATTTTGTTTGGCATAACAAACACGTTCTCCACAGTACCTGGCATGGTTGCACCCATCATTGCTGCCGCTCTGACACCTAACGTAAGTAATTAATAATAATAGTTTCGCTGTCTGTCTATCTGACAAGAACGCTCTAGAGAAAACATAAGCAAATTAAAAACATGCATAGTAATTCGAAAAACGAAATATGACGTTACATTTAGCATAGAGTAATCTCAAGCCGGAGAGTGCACACAGTAATATGACGTCATTGATTCTCGAGTAAACATTGAATAAAAAGGAAATTTTGTCTAATCTAAGTGGTTTGCGTGAAGAGTTTCTTTCATACAATTCTTTGGGTAGGGGCGAAGAACGTCTGAGCCCACCTCCCCCTCCCCAACTCAAAAGAAATTTCCTCATCGATACTCTATAATAAAATTACCGCCTAATTAATGTGTCTAATCTAAAAAGTGGAAGGTGGGGTGGGGGGGGGGGGGGTGGTGGGGGGGGGGTAGGGTGGGGTGGTTTTAGTTTAGAGAAAAGAGACAGCACTATCAGCCTAGCGCCCGTTGTATCCTTCCTCAACGGGCCATTTTTCTCGTAAGTAATAAGTACCAAATCTGATTTAAAAAAACTTTTATTATACTGTAATATTTTAGCATTTATGATGACAAAATATATAATTTTGACTGTAGACAACATATTTTTGTAAAAATAAAATAATAGTATTAAGCTTATTTATATACATATTAAACTAATTATTGATTTGTTTTGAAATTTACAATAAAATATGTAGACATATACATTTCTATATTAAGAGAGTGATTATTTCCCCTAGTTCGCCTGTCTTAATTAAAATTCCTGGAATTATGTCATTTTTTTTGCATGGATAACAAAGCAGATTGTTTTGAGGAATTCAGGAATCCTTTCAGACATTTTTATCTGCTTGATCTATACTTATTCATTGTACCCAGCAAAAAGTGTATTCGCCTTGTACAAAAAAAAGCCAATTTGTTTATATGATTGGGTTTTGTCTTGTACAGAAATCACGTAATATTTTATGTGATTTTGAATTTGTCTTGTACAGAAATCACCGGAGGAATGGAAGAACGTTTTCTACGTCTGCGCAGCCACAGCTTCAGCAGGGGCGATAATCTACTTGATTTTAGCAGACGGCGAGCTGCAGAAGTGGGCCGTCCCTCCGGAAATTGAAAAAGCTGTAGATCTAGACATTGCTGTGGAACATCCCAGTGGTATCCAGCGGTCGGTTACACCTGAGGACTATCATGATAATAGGTCATTTATGTCAGATGACCAACATGTAAACAAGTCATTTATGCCAGATGACCAGCATGTAAACAAGTCATTTATGCCAGATGACCAACATGTAAACAATTCATTTATGCCAGATGACCAACATTGAAACAAGTCTTTTATGTCAAATGACCAGCATGTAAACAAGTCATTAATAGCAGAAGACGAGTATGTAAACAAGTCATTTATGATTTATGTCAAATGGCCCGCATGTAAACAAGTCATTAATAGCAGATGACCAACATGTAACCAAGTCATTTATGCCATATGACCAACATGTAAACAAATCTGATTTGATAGATGACCATGAAGAGAGAAGTGACCACATCATAGATCAACCAAATCCAAAAACTATTCCACCAAATGTCAACCTCCTCCTTCACAATGTCATTTAGTTATTTCAGAAAAGCAGGCTTCTGGCGGACACTTGTAACAGTGTATGTTTACCATATTAATTCCATCTCGTTCGGGAGGGGGGGGAGGGAAGCGGTAGACTTCCGCCCCCCCCCCCCCCCCCCCCTTCCCCACCGGAGAGATGCCTGGAAAAAACTCCGGCTATCATGTAGCTTTCATACCATCTAAATTTCTGTTCGCTGAAACTAACGAGTAAATACATTTACAGAAACAAATGTTTGAACTTAAGTTTGTTATAATTATTGGGGTACTTAGCAATACTTTAGTTAACGTATTGTCAATGTTTCCTGAATGATGTAACGAAGCATTACTGAACACAACTATCCAGAGAAAAAATAAACAATGTAGAATGGGCGGGTCGTAGGCGTGGTCGAAAGAAAGAGTGTGCGATAGAGATTTGTGGAGAGATTATGTGGGGGCTGATTGTAGGTTGATGTTGTGGTGGGCGGGTTGTAGGCTGGTGTTATTGTGGGCGGGTTGTAGGTTGGTGTTATTGTGGGCGGGTTGTAGACTGGTGTTATTGTGGACGGGTTGTAAGTTGGTGTTATTGTGGGCGGGTTGTAGGTTGGTGTTATTGTGGGCGGGTTGTAGACTGGCGTTATTGTGGGCGGGTTGTAGGTTGGTGTTATTGTGGGCGGGTTGTAGACTGGTGTTATTGTGGGCGGGTTGTAGACTGGCGTTATTGTGGGCGGGTTGTAGACTGGTGTTATTGTGGGCGGGTTGTAGACTGGCGTTATTGTGGGCGGGTTGTAGACTGGCGTTATTGTGGACGGGTTGTAGACTGGTGTTATTGTGGGCGGGTTGTAGACTGGCGTTATTGTGGACGGGTTGTAGACTGGTGTTATTGTGGGCGGGTTGTAGACTGGTGTTATTGTGGGCGGGTTGTAGACTGGCGTTATTGTGGACGGGTTGTAAGTTGGTGTTATTGTGGGCGGGTTGTAGACTGGTGTTATTGTGGGCAGGTTGTAGGCTGGTGTTACTGTGGGCGGGTTGTAGACTGGTGTTACTGTGGGCGGGTTGTAGGTTTATGTTATTGTTGGCGGGTTGTAAGTTGGTGTTATTTTGGACAGGTTTTAGGTTGGTGTTATTGTAGGCAGGTTGTAAATTTGTGGAATTGTGGGCAGTTTGTAGGTTGGTGTTATTGTGGGCGGGTTGTAGGTTTATGTTATTGTTGGCGGGTTGTAAGTTGGTGTTATTTTGGACAGGTTTTAGGTTGGTGTTATTGTAGGCAGGTTGTAAATTTGTGGAATTGTGGGCGGTTTGTAGGTTGGTGTTATTGTGGGCGGGTTGTAGGTTTATGTTATTGTTGGCGGGTTGTAAGTTGGTGTTATTGTAATCGAGATGTAACGATGGTGGTATTGTGTGTGTGTGGGGTGGAGTGTTATTGTGGGCGGGTTTGTCGACTGGTGTTTGTGTGGGCGGGTTGTAGGTTGGTACTATTGTGAGCGGGTTGTAGACTGATGTTTTTGCTGACTGTATGTTGGTTTTATTGTGATCGGGATAAAGTGCATCAAAACAACTCTGCTGAAATTCTCACACACTTTGAAAAGAAACTTCAGTTAGTTTTTGTCGAAGTAACCGTTCTTGTTATGTGCTATTTGGAAGAGGAGCAATGCTCTAGCAGGGGTCTCCAAACTTTTCAGACCGAGGGCCGCATTAACTATTAATTATCAGTTCGGGGGCCAGAGTTACTTACTCACGACGAAACTTACCCCCCCCCCAACGGAAATTATATATATATATATATATATATATATATATATATATATATATATATATATATATATATATATATATCAAGTGTCCCCCACCCAAGAAAAAGTCTAAAAGAAACACTGTCGGGGACCGACAACGCACTCGAGCCGACTCGAGGTCCAGGTTTGTTCTCAAATTGTTCTTCACGTAGGCCTACTTCATTCTTGATAAAGTTTCTATGTTGTTCCAAAATTTGAAAGGTACTTTGATGAAAAAGTTTTAATATTAGGAAAGTCTTTCTTATAAAACATACACGCCCTTATTTGAATTTACCTTTAAGGAGGGCCTGAGCTCTGCAACTGGCCACATTTACTTCAGTGGTATTTGCACCCTATGTTACATTTTCAGTTTGTTTTGAATTTTTCCTCAGCCACCTCCAACCAACTTTTTTTTTTTCGAGGGCCGGATGAGAGGACCTCGCGGGCCGCATCCGGCCCGCGGGCCGTAGTTTGGAGACCCTTGCTCTAGATCGTACGGTTTAAAAAAAAACCCATAACAACTAGGCAATGTTAATAAAATGCCAACCATTAGCGCGAGTTTTATCTAAACCAACATATTGCAGTTACTGCTATTTAACGCTTTAGGCACGGTTAAATTTTTTTTTTTAACGGTTAGTAGATATCAAAATTATATTGAAGTAAAATTTTCAGCCGACTCTATGGTGTATTCGAGCTGTACAGACGAATATGCGCTGAAATACAGATGTATAATGCAGAGGCGTAGCGAGGGCGGGGCGGGGGTTGCGGACCGCATCGGATAACACCAATTAGGGGGTTGACACCATGACAGAAGAAAATGTTTTTTGTCAGTTCCATTAATGATTTGAGTTACATAGTCTTTTAAGTAAAAATCGATAATTATTACATGAGGGTGAGGGTAACACGATGACGAAAATGTGCGAACTTTATATATATATATATATATATATATATATATATATATATATATATATATATATATATATATATATATATATATATATATATATATATATATATATATATCTGTCTATATATATATATCTGTCTATATATATATATATATCTGTCTATATATATATATATATATATATATATATATATATATATATATATATATATATATATATATATATATATATATATATATATCTTTGGGGGGGGGGGGGGGTGACACCACGAAGTGCGGCACTGGGTGACCCCCGACCAAGCGACGCCACTGGTATAATGATTGATATTATTTTCAACATAGCACTACCAAATGTACATGATTTGCTGTCAAAACTTGGACATATTTTTAAAATATGTGAAATTGTTTTTTTTTGGTTAAAACGGGTTACGCCGTGAAACAGATAAACTCTACTTCATCTACCCATGTAGACTGTCTTTTGTGTTACGGGATGCCCTGTTTAATTCACAACAGAGACAGCAAAATGAAAACAAAATAATATGTGTATACACACCAACGCATTAATTGTACAATTGGCTGTGCATGACTTTTTGTTTGCTTAGGGATTACTTGCTGAAATAGGCGGATCCATTACTTAACTACGTCCAGTGACCTTTGACCTCTTAGGTACATAACAATAAGAGTTAACAGTCATACGCAATAGCCATTTTTTTTTAAATTTATTTATTACTTTTACATTCAATTTTTTTTTCCAAACGCTCTTAGAAATAAAAGCAACATGAACATTTTCTTTATAGTATAAACTCAATTTGTTTTTTTTTACAGTTTAGTCTTAATTTAACAATGCTATCTCCGCCTTTGAGATAAGAAAGTAAAATCTCGTCCAAACGACCTAATTTTAATCTCAAAATGTACTTGAAACTGAGTATCATTAGAATTAACCTCTGTGTCAGTTAAAATTGTAACTTTTTGGCTGTGCACTTTAATTGATACTTGCACAATTTTTTTGGTGTGTTTTGACAAGAAATACTTAAAATGGGGGAAGTCGTTAAAGGTAAACTTTTTTAACTCCAGTGGAAAATAATTTTATGTCTAGTTTACTAACTTGTTATCTTCTTACCTCTACGGCAGATGTTTAATTATAATTCATTTTTATCGCGTTTAATCATTGTTTTTATTCCACGTTCATTTAATTACTTTTGTCCGAAATTTTAAAAAGTCAGGGAAAAGTTAGGGAAGCAAAGGTTGTTGGTTATAGTACTGACCAAACTCGCTACTGTATGCAGAGGTCATAGCAGTGGCGTAGGCAGGGGGGGGGGGGTTAGGGGGTCATAAGCCCCCCCCCCCCCCCCCCACAGACCCCTTGGTACATATAAATAAAGTATGAGGGGGGTGTAAATCGAAAGTTTGATGGGGGGGGGGGGGTGGAAATCGAAAGTTTGATGACTGGGGGGGGGGGGGGGGGGAGGTGCAAATCGAAAGTTTGTCCCCGGGTAAAAATTTGAACCCCCCCCCCCCCCCCCCCTACGCTACTGGGTCATAGAAAAAGACGAACTCTGTTTTAAACACGATCGGGAAAGATGATGAAGATAGTCTTGGATCATTTAGTTTAAATCATTTAAAAAAGCGTTAAAATATTTTAATTAATTCAATTTAAAAAATGAAATTAACTATCATGAAAACTGATCAGATTTATAATATTGGTACTTACTGTTTAAATCAATTAGATTAAGTTCGTCCAGTTTATAAAACATAAATTGATCTTTTGTAAACCTCCTCTCCCCTCCCCCCCCCCCACCCTAGCGCCCCTCTTCTGCTCCCAGAGGCTGGTCCTCGCCTTCCTGGCTTTTATAGGCAACGTCCTGATCTACACAACCCGCGTCAACATCTCTGTCGCCATCATCTGTATGGTGAGGAACACGCCCCTCAACGTCACGTCCGCCAACCTGAGTCACGTCACTTCCGGTAACGTCACGGATGACGTGTGTGGGGGTGACAGCGATATGGGAGTCGACAAAAACACAAACGACGTGAGTTCGAGAATTTGAGATGTTGTTGGCGGATCTGTGTATAAATGTGAAAGTTGATTTCATGATATAATATCCCATTACTTCTTTTAGGCATCTCTTCGGGAGGGGGCACTCCCCACCCCTCCTCCCACCCTCAAAGCACGTCCACTCCTCACTGAACAAAAAAGATAACATTAAAAAAAAACATGCAGCAAATACATATTGTAACCTTTACGCCCCCCCCCCTCCTCCTCGAAAATTTAAGTCCACCCCCCCCCCCCCCCAAAAAAAATCTTTTTTTTTTTGTTGTGATTTTTAAACAATACACTTTGAAATGTTGTTCTCCAACACTAGAGAGCTGAGTTTGATTGGAGCAAAAGCACTCGGTCTGAGCTTCTGTCTATGTACTTCTATGGCTACATCTTCACACAGATACCAAGTAAGGGAAACCATTTAAAATAACTGTTGCTATAGTCACGTGTCAATTAACTGGTCTTTCTATGAACTCTCTTACTACATGGTTTTTCTACCGACTACATTTCAGTATCCTAAACTAACCTTAACAAAAAGCTTTATAATCTAACTGTGTCTTTTTTGCACCTACCCTTTTTACCTTTTCTTAACTAGATATTTAATGTACGAAATTATGTCAATATATTAGTGTTATCATTATATAATTTAAAGAAATAAAACTTAATTTTAATATCAGTATTTTGGAGTTTTGTTTTTTTTTATTGTTGAAGAAATAGCTATTTTATATGTGTGTAATTGTAAGATTAATAAAGGTATATTTTGCTAAACTCCACCCAATTAATTTTAGTATATTGTTATTCACATTTCAATATCCGATCATGAATATTAATTCAATTATTAACTATATTTTAATTCTAGAATAATTCCCTGCAGAGGCGTAGCGAGGGGGGGGAGGGGCGGGGGTGCGGACCGCACCGGGTGACACCTTTTAGGGGGTGACACCAAGGCAAAAAATAGCAAAATATATATAGAAAATTTTGAGGGGGTGGGGTGCAAATCGAAGGGTTGCTACGCCTCTGGGGGGTGACACCATTAAGTGCCGCACCGGGTGACACCCGACCTCGCTACGCCACTGATTCCATGCAGACATTCAGTAGTGTTGCCAGCGTTCATATATTCCTATTGTGTCTTTATCTAATGTAACGTTTCCTTTTCCTCAGGTGGGTGGCTGGCGTCCAGATACGGTGGTAAAAGAGTCTGGGGTGTGGCCATGTTTTTCTGTGCCCTGTGCACGCTCTTGACGCCGGTTAGTGCTAGAACGCACGTGTACCTCGTGTACGCTATACGTTTTATCCTGGGATTTGCCGCAGTGAGTGACTGTGATTTCAATAAAACGTACACATAATTACAAAAAAAATTTTTTTCTTTAAACATCGTATAAAAGCTGCACATTTGCTTTGATTAACTAAGTTTACACTTTATTTACTTAAACAAGTTTTTCTGTAAGCTACACATATGTCACACGTATCTTCATATAGTGTTTTACAAATTTCAGGGAGTTACCTTTCCATGTGTGCACGCGATGCTGGGAAAATGGACACCACCATTTGAGAGAAGTAAAATGGCGTCCTACACATTTGCAGGTAGTTTACAAATAACTTATTAGACTGGAGTAGGTCATTATGAATCCAAATATCCATGGTTGTGATAATTTATTTTGACGGACAGCTTGACTTTATCAAAGAAAGATGGATGTCACAAGACTGAAGATGTAAAGGAAAAATATTAAAATCCAAGTCTTTCAAACCCCTGGCAAACTTTATCTTCCTTATTTTGTATAACGAGGGGGGGGGGGGTGGAAAAGGGGGGGGGGGGATTTATCTAACTTTACGACACCTTTGACGTCCACAAACAATATTGGATAAGGCGCGTTTGATCTGGGAAGAAATGGCTATGAAGTCCCCAGAAGCTTACACATACATGGTCATCACTCTGTTGGTATAGTCATAAGGAATGCTAAGCAATACGTTTTGCACTAACTATGGTTTTAGAAGCTGCCAATCGTATAATCAAAGAGGCTCCAAGATAAAAGGAAAGATTCGCACCGGGAAAAAAATTTCGCAAGGGCTTTTTTTGTTTTCTTAAATCGAGCATTAAAAATGTATAGATATTAATAAATATTAAGAATGACCACATGTATGTTGTAGCATAATATAAACATTTTTACGCGAAATACAAAAAAGTTAAAGTTTATTATTAGTGTATTTAATTTGTAATTGCGCATTTTTATACCGCAGTTTTCCGATGTGCAGTTTTCCGTTTGCGCATTTTCCTGGGAACCGGGCTCCGCTCCTGTTTGATTTCAGGGTTTACTCTCCTAAACGGGTAGCTAGTGAAGCTAACAAGCCTCATTGGTCAGAAGACGAGCTTTAGAACTTAGGGTTAGCAACATACGCTCAGAACTTAGGGTTAGCAACATGCGCTCTACCACTCGACCACTCTGTGACATCACTAAATGGTTCTTTATTTTGTGTCCAGGTCCTTTAGTGGGAAACATAGCGACGTTTTCAATATCCGGGCTACTCTGCCAGTACGGGTTCGACAACGGCTGGGGTTCCATCTTTTACTTGTCAGGTAAGTTCTTATTGCTTTTTTTGAACGAGAAGAGGTGTTAATAATTAGAGAACGGGATTTGAAACAGTAAGGTATTTGTCATTCATTGTTTTATAATTAGTCTTCATTACACACGCCACCCACCCTCACTCCATTCTTCACTCCACCCACTCGTTTACTCTATTCACCACTTACTTCACCCACCGTTCAATCTACACACACCACTCCCTCCACAAACCACTCACTCCACCCACCCATCACTCCACCAACCCATCACTCCTCCCACCACTCACTCCACCCACCACTCATTCCACCCACCCTTCACTCCACCCACCCTTCACTCCACCTACCACTCTCTCCTACCCCACTCACTCCACCCACCCTTCACTCCACCCACCCTCACTCCACCCACCTTTCACTCCACCCACCTTCTCTCTGCCCACCCTCACTCCACCCACCCACCACTCCACCCACCACTCACTCCACCCACCTTCACTCTGCCCACCCTCACTCCACACACCCTTCAATCCACCCACCCTTCACTCCACCCACCCACCACTCCACCCACCACTCACTCCACCCACCCTTCACTCCACCCACCCTTCACTCCACCCACCTTTCACTCCACCCACCTTCTCTCTGCCCACCCTCACTCCACACACCCTTCAATCCACCCACCACTCACTCCACCCACCTCTCACTTCACCCACCTCTCACTCCAGCCACAATTTACCCCACCCACCCTTTACCCCACCCACCCTTTACCCCACCCACCACTCACTCCACCCACACTTTACCCCACCCACCCTTTACCCCACCCACCACTCACTCCACCCACCACTCACCTCACCCACCCTCATCCCCCCAGGTCTGTTCAACATGCTGTGGGTTGTCCTCTGGTTTCTCTTCACGGCCGACACCCCAGCTAAACACAGGTTCATCACGGAGAGGGAGAAGTTCTACATCGAGGCTTCCATAGGCAGAGGCGACGTCAAGAAGGTAAGGGAGAAGTTCTACATCGAGGCTTCCATAGGCAGAGGCAACGTCAAGAAGGTAAGGGAGAAGTTCTACATCGAGGCTTCCATAGGCAGAGGCGACGTCAAGAAGGTAAGGGAGAAGTTCTACATCGAGGCTTCCATAGACAGAGGCGACGTCAAGAAGGTAAGGGAGAAGTTCTACATCGAGGCTTCCATAGGCAGAGGCGACGTCAAGAAGGTAAGGGAGAAGTTCTACATCGAGGCTTCCATAGGCAGAGGCGACGTCAAGAAGGTAAGGGAGAAGTTCTACATCGAGGCTTCCATAGGCAGAGGCGACGTCAAGAAGGTACGGCTGCTCCTGTTGACAGTTCGTGCTCTAGACTGCTACAGAGTTTCTTACAGGCATCTCTTCAAGGACCCCCCCCCCCCCACCAAAGAAATTATACCGCCCCGCGAACGAAATAGAATTTATATAGAAAATATACTTTTAACAGTCCCCCGCCCCCCCCCCCCCCCCCGTCCCCGGAAATTTTAGTCCACCCCCCCCTACCCCCCAAAAATTTCAAGTGCTTCCACGGAGAAAAATGTCTTTGAAGAAACACTGGACTGCTAGAAGGAATTCTAGGTTCGTATTAAAGGGTCAGTTAGTCCATGACGTGAGCTACTTCAGGTTGCTGTTGTTATCAGAGTAGGGATTCGAGGTTGTTGTAATATAACCATTGATTATGTTTCGGGAAGATTAAGTTCTATAATCAGGGCATTTGACAATGTTATGGGATAAATCAGTAGGTTGGGTTTACAATATTAAAATCGTAATTTTAATCGTGAATTGTCAATTTAAATAAAAAAATATAATAAATTCGTTTAAGAAAACATATTTCTACTCAGAGGCGTAGCGGGGGGGGGGGGACGGGGAGTACATATGTCCCCGGGCGCCGACCTTAGGGGGCGCCAAAATGGGTTGTAAAAACATTGAAAGTTTAAGGGGTGGGTGCAAATTGAAAGTTTGAGGGGGCGCAAATTGAAAGTTTGAGCGGGGGGGGGGGGGGCAAATTGAAAGTTCGAGGGGTGTGCAAATTGAAAATTGATAGGTTGTTCCAGAGAGAGGGGGTCTCCAAATTGAAAGTTTGTCCCCGGGCGCCGGGAAGGGTCGCTACGCCTCTGTTTCTACTTTCTAATGAACTCATGCATTGTTTATTTAAACAAAAAAAATTTACTCATTATGAATCATTTCTTTGAGAAAGCCTGTATCTACTTTTGTGTAATAGAAGTTTTAAACGATTTATTGTTGCTATCTTGGCCCAGGTCAAGCGGGTGCCATGGTTACAAATGTTTACTTCCGGGCCTCTGTGGGCAGCCATTATAGCACACACTTGCAACAACTACGTCAATTACACATTGCTGACGTCACTTCCACTTTTCATGAAAGAAAGTTTGAACTTCGACATTAAGCAGGTTTGTTCAACTTTACCCTCCTTTCATAAAAAAAAATCACGTAATTCGTAGTTCATCAATTTATTCCTTTAGGAAGATAATGTTTTGAAATGTTTTGCTCATAATATGTAAGTAGTAAGTAAAACTCCCTTTCAAACCTGACGGTCTACGGTACCGTAGACAAGTAGAGTTCACTCTGTGACCTCGGTATATGAAGGGATAATGTGGTCAGCACTATGCCCAGCCGCCTTTACTTTCCCGAACGTGAGTTAGGTATCCATCAGAGCTGGGTAGATTCCGGGACGGTTTACTAAATTGAAACCCGGATTTGAACTCGAGGCTAACGGGTCAGCAGTCCAGCTCTCTACTGCTTGGCCACTCCGTCCCACTTATAATATGTGGGCCCAATTAAAAACAAGTTAATAAAAAGTCTAGTGACAATTTAAGCGCAATTTCCTTAATTATTTTTTTGTGACCGAACAAAAGGATATTTTTGAAAACTTTCTTCGGCAATATTGTTTTAAATTATGGCAGGAATCGATTGGTAAATGTTTCAAGTCGCTAAGTGGTCTGGTTGCCGAGATATGGGCCAAAAACTGCATTTTTTCGAGGTTTTTTGGCTTTTCCGGGAAATCCAGGAAGGAACTCCGGGAATTTTTTTGGCCCACAATCATCCTCGGATTTTGCTTAACATATTTGCTTTGGAACTAGTCCTCGATATTGCTTCGTTGAGGAGGAGATACGACTTAAAGCTGCGCTCACACATCCATCCATCACCAGAAATGACGAGTTAATAATCGCATTTGTCCAGTATGGAAAAAATAACAATAATATGTATAGCAATCGAATTACATATCTCCTACAGAACGGGCTTCTGTCTGCCCTGCCCTATGTGTGCCAGTTCGTCTCTTCTATTGCCGGAGGTTACGCCGCTGACACATTCAGAGAGAAGGGCTGGATGTCTACAAGAACAGTCAGAAGGTCTTTCCAGTTTACATGTAAGTGTAAGTTGGTCATTCAGGAAGGTCTTTCCAGTTTATATGTAAGTGGGACAGTCAGAAGGTCTTTCCAGTTTACATGTAAGTGGGACAGTCAGAAAGTCTTTCTAGTTTAAATGTAAGTGTAAGTAGGGCAGTCAGAAGGTCTTTTCAGTTTACATGTAAGTGTAAGTGGGTAAGTCGGAAGGTCTTTTCAGCTTACATGTAAGTGGGACTGTCAGAAGGTCTTTCCAGTTTACATGTAAGTGTAAGTGGGGCAGTCAGAAGGTCTTTCCAGTTTACATGTAAGTGTAAGTGGGGCAGTCAGAAGGTCTTTCCAGTTTACATGTAAGTGTAAGTGGGACAGTCAGAAGGTCGTTCCAGTTTACATGTAAGTGTAAGTGGGACAGTCAGGAGGTCTTTCCAGTTTACATGTAAGTAGGACAGTCAGAAGGTCTTTCCAGTTTACATGTAAGTAGGACAGTCAGAAGGTCTTTCCAGTTTACATGTAAGTAGGACAGTCAGAAGGTCTTTCCAGTTTACATGTAAGTGTAAGTGGACAGTCAGAGGTTTTTCCAGTTTACATGTAAGTGTAAGTGGGACAGTCAGAAGGTCCTTACAGTTTACATGTAAGTGTAAGTGGGACAGTGAGAAGGTCTTTTCAGTTTACATGTAAGTGTAAGTGGACAGTCAGAAGGTCTTTTCAGTTTACATGTAAGTGTAAGTGGGACAGTCAGAAGGTCTTTCCAGTTTACATGTAAGTGTAAGTAGGGCAGTCAAAAGGTCTTTCCAGTTTACATGTAAGTGTAAGTGGGTCAGTCATAAGGTCTTTCCAGTTTACATGTAAGTGGGACAGTCAGAAGGTCTTTCCAGTTCACATGTAAGTGTAAGTGGGTCAGTCAGAAGGTCTTTCCACTCAAAATTCGTATTCGGTCATGCGTTGCTAAAACAAAGTCTGTAAGTTTAAAATAAATTCGCTTTAGCAATTTTGTGCGCGTAGTTATCCATTCCGAATTTTTCTGGCCATCATCTTCCAAATGTAAACAGTGTGTAGTACTTCGGTGTGACCTCCCTTACCGACAACGGAATCGGGTGCACAATACAGTAATTATTTGTTTATTATTCTCAGCTTTTGTAGGGACCGCCATTTGTATCGCCAGTGTTGGTCAGATGAGCTGTGAACACCGCCATATTGCCGTGGCTTTGTTGTGTTTGTGTACTACATTCATGGGTCTCAACAGGTCCGGCTATGTTGTCAATCATCTAGACCTTGCCCCCAGGTACGTAATGTTTGTTGTGTTTGTGTACTACCTTCATGGGCCTCAGGTATTGTGTCAATTGTTTTGACCTGGCCGCTAGGTATGCAAGATTTAGTTCCTTAAACATTTTTTATATGGTTAGCATGGGCGGATTTAGCATGAGCAGCTGAAATTCTTTGGGGGCCCTTGTATGTATATATATATATATATATATATATATATATATATATATATATATATATATATATATATATATATATATATATATATATATATATATATATGCGTGTGTGTGCGTGTTAGATATTTAGTAAAAAAAATTGAAGCTTGTAATGCAAACGTTAAAACTTTAGTTTTTATAGTGAAAACCAACAATAGAGGTCCCCTGACTGCAGTCATCTCAGCCCCCTTCCCCCCCCCCCCCCCCGCCACTCCTTAATCCGCTATTGATGGTTAGTGTTATGGTTTGAGTTGAGTTTTATCTTTGTATATGCTAACTTGGCTTTGTCTAGCTTGCATTTAGATTAGTTTTGAAAACATTTAGAAAGGCTGCTTATCTACAGATATTAGTTTTCAAAACACAATTGCATAAATAATTTACGCTTACGAAAAGAAACTACATGAAATATGTTAGAAAATTCAGCTGAATTTATTGCATCAATGCCTTGTGAATTTTAAAACATGAACGAAAAAATCTTTTATTCTTTTTTTTTTATAATTCTAATTTTATGGAACTGAAAAAAAATATACTGGAATAATTTTGTAAAAAAAAAAATGTTTCTTAAATAAATGAATTGGCACGACCGTAATTTCTTTCAGCTACGCTGGGATTTTGTTTGGCATAACAAACACGTTCTCCACAGTACCTGGCATGGTTGCACCCATCATTGCTGGCGCTCTGACACCTAACGTAAGTGAAACATACACAAACATATTTACACAACTCATCAACCGTAAGTTATGCAAAGGTGTATAGAATCCTGTTTGAAACATTTTATCTCAGGAAAATTAGGTGATGATAAATGAATACATGTTATCGAATGTAGGTAAAATACGCATTCATCAGACATGATGCGGTTGGTTGTTGAGATATGCATTTATATCGTGTAGAAATCAATGAATTCATTATGATTGCGAATAGGATTTGTGAATAAATCAGCGATATTATTGCCGATATTGTGAATAAATCGGCGACATTGTTTGTACGATTTTTTAAATATGTCTAATACAGAAATACGTGAAATTGTTTAGTGATTGTAAGTATGTCTTGTACAGAAATACGTGAAATTTTGTTTATGTGATTGTAAGTAAGTCTTGTACAGAAATACGTGAAATTATTTATGTGATTCTAAGTATGTCTTGTACAGAAATCACCGGAAGAATGGAAGAACGTTTTCTACGTCTGCGCTGCCACAGCATCAGCGGGAGCGATAATCTACTTGATTTTAGCAGACGGCGAGCTGCAAAAGTGGGCCGTCCCTCCTGAAACGAAAATCAGTCTGGAGATTTTGGCTGAGCATCCTAGAGAGCTCTGCCGACTGCCAGCTGACCAGCATGCGGACACTGACCACAGCATAGAATCGGCCAAGTCCGAACGGAATTCACCTAGTGTCATACCTCTTGTCCAGAATTCAACCGGGGTGGTTGTGTGACCCTCATATGTGTGGCTGTGACCCTAATAATTGTGGTTTTTGACCCTCATAAGTGTGATTGTTTGACCCTGATAGGTGTGGTTGTTTTACCCTCATAGGTGTGGTTGTTTGACCCTGATAGTGTGGTTGTTTTACCCTCATAGGTGTGGTTGTTTGACCCTCATAGGTGTGGTTGTTTGACCCTGATAGTGTGGTTGTTTTACCCTCATAAGTGTGGTTGTTTGATCATCATAAGTGTGGTTGTTTGACCCACAATAGTGTGGTTGTTTAACCCTCATGTGTGTGGTTGTTTTACCCTCATAGGTGTGGTTGTTTGACCCTGATAGTGTGGTTGTTTTACCCTCATAAGTGTGGTTGTTTAATCCTCATAGGTGTGGTTGTTTGGCCCTCATATGTGTGGTTTTTTTACCCTCATAAGTGTGGTTGTTTGACCCTCATAGATGTGGTTGTTTGACCCTCGTGTGTGTGGTTGTTTGATCATCATAAGTGTGGTTGTTTGACCCACAAATGTGTGGTTGTTTGACCCTCATTTGTGTGGTTGTTTAACCCTAATAGGTGTAGTTGTTTGACCCAAAAATGTATGGTTGTGTGACCCTGATCGGTGTGGTTGTTTGACCCAAAAAAAGTGTGGTTGTTTGACCCTGATAGATGTGATTGTTTGACCTTCTTAAGTGTGGTTGTTTGACCCTCTTAAGTGTAGTTGTTTGACCCTCATAGGTGTGGTTGTTTGACCCACAAAAGTGTGGTTGTTTGACCCTGATAGATGTGATTGTTTGACCCTCTTAGGTGTGGTTGTTTGATCCTCATAAGTGTGGCTGTAACACTTATAAGTGTGATTGTTTGACCCATATAAGATTTGTTGTTTGACCCTTATGTGTGTGGTTGTTTGACCCTCATAAGTGTCACTGTGACCCTCATATGCATGCTTGTTTGACCCTCCAACAGGTTTATGGCTGCCCAATTAAAGCTCAGATTTTGACTCTTGCTTATGAATACTCACTAATTCTGTTTAGCACCTTGCACAATAATGCAATAGTAATTTGCTGAAGTCGTGTTATCATATGCTATATATTGCACACACTTTTATTTTTAAGTTATTTTATTTTATTTTGCACATCAACTTCTAGTTATTGTTTTTTAAATAAAATATAGTCAATTTTTAAACACGCATCCAGACTTTTTTTCTTAAAAATTTTAATCAAGAATACCATTTAGAGAACTTTAAAATTACGATTTATCGGAACATATGGTAGCTTTGTTAAAATGAAGCACTATTGTGTTTACGAAGTGTAGTGTACGCAACAATGTATATGAAATGAATGAAGATATGGCACGTTGATGAACCCAACTACTTTTTATGTTTACGAAATAAAAGTGCCAGAATTAGATATATTTTCAGAGAATTTGAAACGTGAATTATATTTGATGTTTGTCGCGAGTAAAAGGCGTCATGGTTGCACAATAGAACGATGGCTTGTAAACCCTTAGACATGAGTTTGGTAAAGAGTCATAGTGTCACCCCCTTTTTTTCTCGTTACATTTTGGTGTCACCCGGTGCGGTCCTCACCCCCCCCCCCCCCGCCTCCGCCTCGCGACGCCTCATCTTGAGCCTGTAGGTCTTACAATGACTAGTGTTTCTTCCAGACCTTTCTCTCCGGGATGCACTTGAAATTTTCGGGGGGGTGATGCCTGGAAGAAACTCTGGCAATGACGTACGAGATGCGACAGAAAGCGGAGGGAAAGCCTGATGAAAACAGATCAAAATGGCTGGGCTACATAATTTCTCAAGTAAGGGGTCGTCCATAAATGACCAGTGTTTCTTCCAGACTTTTTTCTCCGGGGGGGGGGGGGCACTTAAAATTTTCGGGGGGCGGTAGACTTTCTTCGGGGGGGGGCGGACACTGTTAAAAGTATATATTTTCTATATAAATTATATAAATTTCATTTCGTTCGGGGGGGCGGTAAAAATTTTTCGTCCCCCGAAGAGATGCCTGGAAGAAACTCTGTAAATGACGTCACACTCATAGGGGGGTGAGGAGGGTCCATAATTTTGTGACGGTGTGCGATGAAAGGGGGGGGGGTCAGAAGGTGTGACGTACGTCACGTTTTTGCATTTTTAAAAAAAGCAATGTTAGAAAATCAAATTTTAGCCGTTATTTCGCGTTTTAGAAAACTTTTTAAATAAATTGTAACAGGAATTGATTAAAATACTTCGTGTTGAAAGAGTTTAGACAAGATTTTGGAAAAATATCATTAAAAAAAAAATTCAACTGCAATTCTGAAGGGGGTTGTAGGCTGAGGTGTGACGTCATTTTAGGGGGGTCTGACTTTTTGTGACGATGGGTGACGAAGGGATGGGGGGGGGGGGTAAAAAATTGTCAAAAAAGGCGTGATGTCATTTATGGATGCCCCCCCCCCCCCTAATCTACTTACCAGCAATTAGCATGTCAAACTGTAAACTTCTCTCGCTTTAATAACTTAGGTGTTTGATTCTAGATTGGAACATAGTGTATAGCGTTTTAGTTTTTGTTTGTTTGTTATTATAGCAGATCTCTAGTTTTATTTAGTGTACACTGCATCCCTCGGCGACACAAAACTTTGTGCAGTGGACTGAAATTATTTTTACTTTTTTTGTAATCATTTTTACTAAGGCCAAGCAGCTAACTAGATATAGTTATTTGATTGTCGCAAATCCTCTGCAAGTCAAAAACATTAAACAGATTACTACATTTAACTTTATTATTTATATATTTTTAGATTTACTAATTTAAATCTATTATTATGGTCTATTTATTCCTATTTCCTTATGTCGATGAAACTATGATCCGACATTATTTGTATTTTCATGGTCAAATAAAACATGGTTTACACGCAACTTACAATTACGAAACTCAACGAACATTACTAGATAATTGCCGACGCTAAATTAAGGTTTTCCTAGTCTCATAACATCATCATCATCATCCCTCCTTTGTGGCCCCTGGGGAGCAAAGGGCTGCAACCACACATCTCCATCGGACTCGGTTTTGGGCTGCTCCCTTTATCTGTGCCCTTGTGAGCCCAGCTGTTTTCGCCTCTTCTTCAACCGATTTTCTGCATGTCTTCCTTGGCCGGCCCACCCTGTTTTTTCCCCGGGGATTCCAGTCCAAAGCATGTTTTGCGATGCTTTCTTTTTCTTTTCTCATAACATCACTGTTCTGTAATGTAAATAAAATCTCGAAAAGTTTGCAACTTTAAAAATAAAATTACCGCACCAATTAGCACAACACGGCCGATGTGTTTATTTTTAAAAAGTTGGTTTAGAGATCTAGATCTAGAAAAAAAATTTAAAGCGATACTACGATCTAAATGATAGAAAAGAACCTTCCTAGCATTAATTGAAAACATATCTACAATGAGTAAGTACATCCTATATTATGCGTTGATATACATTTTTTAAAATAAATGTATTTTACTTAATTTCGTACTAGATCTAGATCTAGAATCTAGATCTAGATCTATAAATTGGCCATAAAAAATCATCACCAATACACGAATCTAGAATCTATATCTGGATCTAGATAGATCTAAAATCTAGATCTAGCTTCTAGACCTAATCTGGAATCTATGTAATCTCGATCTAGATCTTTTAGAAAGAAAAATTAAATCGTCAGATAAAATAGACACAACTGTGATAATGAACCGCCTCCGATCATTATTGTAGACATGGATTTTTAAAATGTGTTTTGCCAACTTTACTTTTAAATGACAGTAAATAAAAGTAAATAAACCGGGAGTGATCTCCCCTAAACTTTCTCGAATATTCTTAAACTACGAGGGATGGCAACTCAGGACATAGACAATATTTGTAATCCATTTTTAATTACTTAAACTTTTTATAATAGAATAGAATCTCATAATCTCATATAATTGGGGCCTTGTGGCCTAGCTAGACTGCTCGACCCGAAAGTCTCGAATTCAAATCAGGGTTTAAGACAGCAGAACCTCCCTGAGTCAACCCAGCCTTGATGGGTACCTGACTCACGTTAGGGAAAACATAGGTGGCTGGGCACAGTGCTGACCACACTTTCCCTTCATATACCGAGGGCCCTGAAACAGATAAACTCTACCTCATCTGCCTCATGATTCTTGGGCACGATCTGGAAAAGATGATGACAAGATGATTCACTATAATTAATTATCGTTAAATCATTCTAACCTTAAGATTTATGTCTAAATTGTAAATTTTGACATATCGAGAGACTAGCAAATCGGGTCGATTGACGCTTTAAGGGGCAATTACACCATCGGAAATAGTTACAATGTACAGTATCACAATACATAGAACGGTAAATCACACAAAAAGTCAAGTGAGACAAGTCAAGTCTAAAAGTCCATTCACTGGATATTGTTGTTTTCACAGAGCTTGGTAAGGATGTGTAAATGATGTAAATAATGTAAAGACGCAAGATACGATAGAAATGTTCTACAACTTAAAGCACACACCCAAGGTATGTTCTAGTCACCATTTTTGTGTGCCGATTTTTACACCCGGTTCACGTTAGACATAAACACAATTTTCCTAACCACCCCCTCCCCACCTCTAAAATCACACCACTCTTCGCTTGCCCTGATTTCTATGCATAGGGCCTTCATTTCCCTTCCGTATTACCAGGCTTGCTGATTTTGCCAGAAATATTGTGTTGCTTCTCTTTGAAACGAAACTATCCAAATATTTATATCTATCTATATATATATATAATTCTCTACGCTGGGACCATAAGAGACACCACCAGGTAAAGGCTTAGCTCTCTAGGCATACAGCTACCACCACCACCCCCACCAGTCTGGTGAGCTGTGGTTAACACTAAATGTTTACAATCGATTTGAAACTAAGGGGAGGTAATAACAAGTTCTGCTTGAACTTTTCATTGTCGTCTGTAAACTGTCGTCACGGACGGCTGCTTTCACGGAGGGTGGGGGAGGGGGGGGGATGGAAAGTGAAGGTGAGGATAATCATCCTTCACTAGCAACTGATAAGGAAAACATTTTCAGTCGCAGCATTAGTAGTGTCTAATTTAAAAATTATGAACTACTGAAAGTAGAAAATAAAACAACTAATTAGTGGTGTATGCTATGTCGCGGGTCGGCTTGTATATATACAATTCTCTACGTGGTGACCATGCAAGACACCACCAAGACGTAAACTCAACAGACCATATCGCTACCACCCCACCCCCACCAGTCTGGTGAGCTGTTTACAATAGTAGTGACGGCTATCAGGGGCAAACAATTTATTTATTAAACTGTTTGAAATTAAGGGGAGGTAATAACATGTTCTGCTTGCTCTTTTCATAGTCGCAGCATTGGTAGTGTTGAATTCACAAATTATGAATTACTAAAAATAGGAATTAAACTAAATAGCGGCGAATGCTACGTCGCGGGTCAGCTCGTTATTATTAAAGCACCTGTGAATTGGTTGATTAAACTAAAAAAACATTTTTAATGATTATATAATACTCAACATTCAAGTCAATGTTAGATTACGTAATCGATTTTCATTCAAATTTACAACAAATAAAATGTATTGAAAATTAATAAATAGGTAAAATGTGTCAAGATTTAGAAACTTTTTAAAAATTCATAAGTGTGACCTCACACTGAACTGCGTCCCTTAAGGGACTTACCCCTATCCAATATTAAGCAAAACTAGACGACCCAGTTTCCACTTCGGAAACGGTCTATCGTTTGCACTACACAACACAAACCAATATCCCATAACACCCATCCCATTATTTATAGTCTTTTAACCCCATAGGAGTTCCTTGTTTTTCTACCCAAACTCCCGCCCTCTCTCCTAACTCTACTTCCTTCTCCCCAAATCGCTCTTCACTCTCCCCACTCACCCCCCCCCCCCCACCCCATTCACCATTACTCTCTTCATGTTGACGTCATAAAATGTTGTCTCTTAACTTTACGTGTGTAGCTAATAGGGCTGGTAAGTAGGTCACCAACCAGTTCTGTGGCTCATGCAGGTGTTATTGAGCCGTAGAACTGGTTGGTGACCTACTTACCAGCCCTATTACCTAGTGACTTCTTATAAGTCAACCAACCATCAGCTGCCATTTTATTGTTACCTTCTCGTATACGAAGTATAGAGAAAGTCTTGTAATAGTGCAAAAAAAAAATAAGAAGAGATTTTTCAAATCTCGACGTTTTACACCTCCATAAGTCGGAAAAACATAATATTGAAATCTTGTCCGTATGTCTGTGTGTGTGTGTATGTGTGTGTATGTGTGTCTGTGAACACGATAACTTGAGTAGCGTAACAGCTAGGTTGATGAAATTTCATATATAAGTATTATATCAAATTTGTAGATCTGTATCAACTTTTGAGCGATTTCCGATAAAGGAAAGTGGAACTTTCTCTACTTTGAATGTTTCAAAAGCCTATAACTTGAGTACTTTTTCAGATAGATACATGAAATTTCACATATAAGTAAAAGATCTAATTCTCTGCCATTTATAAACAAATTGAGTAATTTCCGTTGACCTGAAGTGGTAATTTTCGCTATTTCCGATTTCTCAAAAAACGCATGTGGATTTATGAAGTACTAATAATATACCGCCCTACTATACACACTTTTTTCGGCGTTCACTTGGTGGGCAATTCTTTTTTCTAAGAGATTCTATTCTATTTTATAAAGTTAAAGTCAATACAAATGGATTATAAATCATATCTATATCCCAAGGTGCCATCCCCCGTAGTGTTATATAAGAATATTCGAGAAAGTTTAGGGAAGATTACTCCCGTTTTATTATTTTTTAAGTGAAAGGGTTAAGGAGTGTACGAACAAATGATGTCTGTTAGCTCATGAATTTTCATTATTTATCCAATTCCTACTGCTGCAGGTTGTGTGTTCTTAAATCATGTATGTCGATACTAGAAGTTTGTTTGCGCCCTTTTAAAATAAGTCAATAAACTCATCTATATATATAATTCTCTTCTAGGAGACGCTAGAAAACAAGCTGTAAGCGCGCTCCCTACCACCCCACCCCTACATAGTCTGGTGAGCTGTGGTTCACGCTGTTTACAAGCAGAGCCGGGTTTAGTGACGACTATTAGGGGCAGATAATTTAGTTTGAAACGATTTTAAACGTAGGGGGAGAGCAGGGGGGGGGGGGGGTAACTAAGTGGAGTTTGCTTTAACGGAGGGGGGGGGGAAGGAGGGGGGTTATCGTCCTTAACGAGCTACTTATAGTGTTTAAAAAAATATTTTCAGTGGCAGCGTTGGTACTGTCGAATTCACAAATTATGAATTACTGAAAAGTAGAAAAAACAAAAACTAAATAACGGCGTATAATATGCCGCGGGTCGGCTCTGACAATATAATACTTGATGTTTTTCTTACAGGTGTTAGTTTGGCTGGTCCTGTTGACTGGGGACCTCGGCGTTCAAGGTATCACAAAGAACGTCTGTACACTGGAAAAACTTCCATTCACTATGGAAGAATACCAAGCTAGGTTTAAGAGTATCCTAGAAGGTGTCAACCACACCAACGTCCCTCAACCCGACCCAAACAACAAACTTGAACAAAGTTCCTTGTGTGGTCAGACTCTTGTTGACCAGTCGCAGGCCATTGTTAGGGGCGAGGAAGCTCCAGAGAACGCTTGGCCGTGGTATGTCTTTCTCCTGGCACATGATTCTGGTGAATCTGGGGGGTGTGGGGGTTCAATTCTCACCGAGTGGTGGATCCTGACAGCTGGACACTGCATGATGTCATGGAACTCAACTATCATGGTTTATTTTGGATTAACTAACATAACACAGTTGGACACGACAAAACATATAAAAGCTGAGAAACATTTTACACAATTGTATTCTATAGATGGGATTCTTTACAATGATATCATGCTTCTCAAACTTGAATCTCCAATAACCTTCTCTGACACCATCAGGCCAATCTGCTTGCCGGATGAAGACATGAGCAAGTCTAAAAATTGCTTTAGTATTGGATTTGGAGCCATCGATCCTATGGGAGAAGGTTCTAAAACATTGAAGCAAATAAAAACCAGCCCCATGGATCATAAACTTTGCAGGTTTATCCTTCGCTATGTTTCTCAGTTTAAACATTTAGAGTATTTGATTTGTGCCGATGAGGAGCATGGTCAAGGGGTGTGTTCTGGTGATTCAGGGGGCCCAATGATTTGTGAGGCCAATGGTAGATACTTTATCGTCGGCGTGACGTCTACGGGATACGATTGTGGACAGAGTGAGATACCTTCTAGCTTGGTTTCAGTGCATGCCTGGATAGAGTGGATTAAAACCACAATCAAATCCAATTCGTAATGAGATACAGAAGAAACATTAAGCCTAATCTTTAAACCTTCTTTGTTTACAATTCAATAAAATCATTATATTCTGTACTTGGAGATTTGTAACTTTTTATAAATGAGCGTTCAAATGAGTTTCTCAATTTTGGTGATACACTCTCTGTAAGTTGGAGTTTTTGAAATGTGTCGGTAACTTGGAGCAAAACTGTACATTATCGTTCTTTGTTTTACTGTCTCAAGGGTTTGTGTTTTTTACTTTCTCGTATATACGAAGTATAGAGAAAGTATTGTAATCCTGCAAAAAAATCTCTTGAAATTTCAACAATTTTCACCGTATTACACCTCAGTCCTTCATCACATCCGAAGTATAGAGGACTTATTTTAATCTGGCAAAAATTATCAATCCAGATTTATCAAAATTAAGAGGTTTTATGCGTAATCCATTGTGAAAAACTGGGCTTTGCAATCCTGTCCGTATGTCTGTGTGTCTGTGTGTGTGTAAACACGATTAATTGAGTACCGTTACAGCTAGGTTGATGAAATTTCACATATAAGTATTTTATCGTAGATCTTTATAAACTTTTGAGCGATTTCCGATAACCGGAAGTGGTACTTTTTCTACTTTGAATTTTTCAAAAGCCTATAACTTGAGTACTATTTCAGATAGATAAATGAAATTTCACTTGTGAGTAAAAGATCTAATTTTCTACCTTCTGTTAAATTTTGAGTAATTTCCGTTGACCGGAAGTAGTAATTTACGCTACTTCCGATTTCTCAAAAAAGTAATGTAAATTTTTAAAGTACTAATAATATTGCGCACTATTATGCACTTTTTTATTTGGCGATCACTTGGTGTGCAATTCTTTTGTCTACGAGATTTTATTCTATTTTTAAAACTTTAAGTATTTAAAATGGATTAAAAGTCATGTCTATAGCCTGAGTTCCCATCCCCTGTTGTTTTATATAAAAATATTCGAGAAAGTTTAAGGGAGATCACTCCCGGTTTATTTAAAGTTTCCTTCAAGATCACATTAATTGCAAGAAGAGTTAAACAAAAGTGTTTTTTAACGTATATGTTTTAAAGACTGTTATCTCCCTTGTTTCATTTTATAATTTATTATGTTGCGTTTCTTTAAGTAGTTAAGATATATATATATTTTATTTTATTTTTTTTTTCTCTATTTAAAAATGAACATTGTCTTCGTTTTCAAATTAACTTAAGTGAGGTAATAAGTTGGAAAATAGTCTCATTCTAAACCGTTATAAACTAACTCAATATCATACAGTTAATTAAAAATTATCACAAGCTTTATATTTCTTAAAAACCTTTTAAATTTTCAAATCTGAAAATCCAACAATTATCTAAGTGAATAATTGTTTGTATATGTTACTTTATGATGAGGTTGTTTTTACCAATATCAGTGCACACAAAAAAAGCCACGGTGAGATACCACTTGTCTCAATATGTGACAAAAAACCACACGAGGCAGTTGAACTTTAAGTTTATTTCTTGTTTCTTTTGTCGTCGGTAGATTTACTTTCCGTCCACTTCTTTTTGGTTCTTAATTTTAGTGTTGGGAAAGATTCCCTCCAACACATTTATGTATAATATGTAAAATTGTTACGCGTCATATAAGCCGTTGGCTCCGCTTCGATAGCCTTTGTCCAACCAAGAGCAAACTACAACACAGCAGTTCATTTGATTTTGGAGTTGTCTCTCCTAGAACATTTGCTTTCCCCAGTTATCGAGCCTCGCCTGCCCGGGGGTTCGAACTCGGGATATACCCATCTATTTTAATAAGAATTTTCAATGGTAAAAATCGCCCCTTATTTATTTTAACAATTTACCTATAGTTGGCTCACACTTTGAAAATATGATAAGGCCATTTGAAGTCATAACTTTAAAAGAAATATATATTAAAGAAAAATATTTTTAGCTGTGTTAATGAGTGACTTAATACTTGTTATGAGACTTTTAACTTCATTATGCCTACTTAATTATGGAACTTAAAATGTAACGCTTAGGTCAATAGGGCTGGTAAATAGGTTACCAACCAGTTCTACGGCCAGTGTTTCTTCCAGACTTTTTTCTCCGGGGGGGCACTAGAAATTTTCGGGGGGGCGGTAGACTTTCTTCGGGGGGGCGGACACTGTTAAAAGTATATATTTTCTATATAAATTATATAAATTTCATTTCGTTCGGGGGGGGGGGCGGTAAAAATTTTTCGGGGGGGGCGAAGCCCCCCCGAAGAGATGCCTGTAAGAAACTCTGTCTACGGCTCAATAAAAACTGCATGAGCCATAGAACTGGTTGGTGACCCATTTACCAGCCTTATTAGCGTTGAAGCACATTTTAAATGTTTAGGAAACTACATTATTGGAGATGAAGCGATACATTTTATTTTTCTCCTACTCACTCAAGGTGTGAGTATAAGTTGTAGAAATATTATAAAACATGTATAAACCTTTAGTGCATTTTTTTTATGATATGTTTTTGGTAGTGAAATTGATTTTCAAAGTTATAATTATTTAATAACGTTAATTTCCTACATCTTTGAGAGCCTTACATTTATAAGTATAGTAAAAAAACACCTGTATGCATTTTGTTTGCATTACCTAGGGGCATGTTTTTTAAATATGTGATTAGCAGACATTTGCAGATAAACAAATGCTACAATTCTCATTAAAAGCTCATATCATAACGAACATGGAAACATACACTTAAAAACAGTCACAATAAGTAATAACAGAATACTTTAAAAGTTTAAATATTTAATGTTTTAAAATTACAAATACATTTTTTTAAATAAATAAATAAAAGTCTGTTTAAATAGGTGGTCCATGCAGACTTGTCAGCAAGCTGGTAATTTCGTCCCTGTATTTAGTTGGTGCATATCCACTTTCTGTTCACCCATTTGCATACCAGAGTCCTACCTGGAAAAATGTTTCAAAAAATATTATATAACCTATGGAGGCATATATTTTGTATGGTTAGAGGATATAAACTACTGCTTGTTATTTTATGCATATATTGATAAAAAACAACTATATTCCATATATATATATATATATATATATATATATATATATATATATATATATATATATATATATATATATATATGCACAACTTGCACGGCCGCATACCAGGCAGAGGTTTTGGTAGTTGGATTTCCTGAAAAACAAAAAAAAAAATCTTTTGTCTTAGAAAAAATATATCTAATCAGCAAGCAAGCATACGAATTGCGACAACCTCCATACAAATTCTGAATATCAAACCAATTAATATATTTCAATAAAGCATCTCAAATACATATGTTAATATATTTCATGAATAGTCATTTCGGGGATGTAACGGTTAAACATAAAAATACTAACAATTCTTACCCATGTCTTGGATTTGGGTTTACTGGGCCCCCCCCATCTGAGGAAGATCCGAGTGGAGCACCATCTGAAATAATAAAATAATTAGAACATATTTTCGCGGGGCTGTTATATGTGTGTTGTAGCGAGATTATATTGACTGTCCACGTTGCTATATATGGTGGAATCTAGGGCTCGTTAATGTTGTTATAGAGAGAGTTTAGGTATCGTACATGTTGTTAGAGAAAGAATATAGGGATCATCCAAGTTGCTATAGAAGATGGATTAAAGGGATCATCCAAGTTGCTATAGAAGACGGATTATAGGGATCATCCAAGTCGCTATAGAAGATGGATTTAAGGGATCATCCAAGTTGCTATAGAAGATGGATTATAGGGATCATCCAAGTTGCTATAGAAGATGGATTATAGGGATCATCCAAGTTGCTATAGAAGATGGATTAAAGGGATCATCCAAGTTGCTATAGAAGATGGATTATAGGGATCATCCAAGTTGCTATAGAAGACGGATTATAGGGATCATCCAAGTTGCTATAGAAGATGGATTATAGGGATCATCCAAATTGCTATAGGAGATGGATTATAGGGATCATCCAAGTTGCTATAGTAGATGGATTATAGGGATCGTCCAAGTTGCTGTAGATAGAGAGATTATAGTCGTGACGTAGACAACATCTTTAAGCACCAAAACCTATGTTTAAATGCATTTATTGAAAGACTCAAGTGAAAGGTACTGCCGTCTTCATGCTTAGACCTTTTTTGACAAGGTCGGCTCTTTCTGGGAGAACCATCTGGAATTAAAAGAAAAAGAGAGAATACAAAAACATGTAGCTTGGAAGGTAATTACCAGTGGGCCCTTTTAAAACGAAACAGAATTTTAATTAAATCCTTAATAATTAATAAGTAAGGAAACACTTTTCTAGCTTGACGGTCAGTAGGGCAGGTGAAGTAGAGTTGATATGGTTTTTTGTGTAATCTATGAGGGGATAGTGTGAGTAGAACTAAGCCTAGTCACGGTTACTTCACTAACGTGAGTGAAAGACCTGCATGATTTCTGATAAAATCGTGGCGCGAAAGATTGATACAGAGTGGACTAGCATACTCACAGGGTCCGTCAAGACAAGCATACTCACAGGGTCCGTCGAGACAAGCATACTCACAGGGTCAGTCAAGACTAGCATACAGGGTGAGTCACGACTAGCATACAGGGTGAGTCACGACTAGCATACAGGTTGAGTCACGACTAGCATACTCACAGGGTGAGCCACGACTAGCATACAGGGTGAGTCACGACTAGCATACAGGTTGAGTCACGACTAGCATACAGGTTGAGTCACGACTAGCATACAGGTTGAGTCACGACTAGCATACTCACAGGGTGAGCCACGACTAGCATACAGGGTGAGTCAAGACTAGCATACAGGTTGAGTCACGACTAGCATACAGGGTGAGTCACGACTAGCATACTCACAGGGTGAGCCACGACTAGCATACAGGGTGAGTCACGACTAGCATACAGGGTGAGTCACGACTAGCATACAGGTTGAGTCACGACTAGCATACAGGTTGAGTCACGACTAGCATACAGGTTGAGTCACGACTAGCATACTCACAGGGTGAGCCACGACTAGCATACAGGGTGAGTCAAGACTAGCATACAGGTTGAGTCACGACTAGCATACAGGGTGAGTCACGACTAGCATACTCACAGGGTGAGCCACGACTAGCATACAGGGTGAGCCACGACTAGCATACAGGGTGAGCCACGACTAGCATACTCACAGGGTGAGCCACGACTAGCATACTCACAGGGTGAGCCACGACTAGCATACTCACAGGGTGAGCCACGACTAGCATACAGGGTGAGCCACGACTAGCATACTCACAGGGTGAGCCACGACTAGCATACAGGGTGAGCCACGACTAGCATACTCACAGGGTGAGCCACGACTAGCATACTCACAGGGTGAGCCACGACTAGCATACTCACAGGGTGAGCCACGACTAGCATACTCACAGGGTGAGTCACGACTAGCATACTCACAGGGTGAGCCACGACTAGCATACAGGGTGAGCCACGACTAGCATACAGGGTGAGCCACGACTAGCATACTCACAGGGTGAGCCACGACTAGCATACTCACAGGGTGAGCCACGACTAGCATACAGGGTGAGCCACGACTAGCATACTCACAGGGTGAGCCACGACTAGCATACAGGGTGAGCCACGACTAGCATACTCACAGGGTGAGCCACGACTAGCATACTCACAGGGTGAGCCACGACTAGCATACGCACAGGGTGAGCCACGACTAGCATACAGGGTGAGCCACGACTAGCATACAGGGTGAGCCACGACTAGCATACTCACAGGGTGAGTCACGACTAGCATACTCACAGGGTGAGCCACGACTAGCATACAGGGTGAGCCACGACTAGCATACAGGGTGAGCCACGACTAGCATACTCACAGGGTGAGCCACGACTAGCATACTCACAGGGTGAGCCACGACTAGCATACAGGGTGAGTCAAGACTAGCATACAGGTTGAGTCACGACTAGCATACAGGGTGAGTCACGACTAGCATACTCACAGGGTGAGCCACGACTAGCATACAGGGTGAGCCACGACTAGCATACAGGGTGAGCCACGACTAGCATACTCACAGGGTGAGCCACGACTAGCATACAGGGTGAGCCACGACTAGCATACTCACAGGGTGAGCCACGACTAGCATACAGGGTGAGCCACGACTAGCATACTCACAGGGTGAGCCACGACTAGCATACAGGGTGAGCCACGACTAGCATACTCACAGGGTGAGCCACGACTAGCATACTCACAGGGTGAGCCACGACTAGCATACTCACAGGGTGAGCCACGACTAGCATACTCACAGGGTGAGTCACGACTAGCATACTCACAGGGTGAGCCACGACTAGCATACAGGGTGAGCCACGACTAGCATACAGGGTGAGCCACGACTAGCATACTCACAGGGTGAGCCACGACTAGCATACTCACAGGGTGAGCCACGACTAGCATACAGGGTGAGCCACGACTAGCATACTCACAGGGTGAGCCACGACTAGCATACAGGGTGAGCCACGACTAGCATACTCACAGGGTGAGCCACGACTAGCATACTCACAGGGTGAGCCACGACTAGCATACGCACAGGGTGAGCCACGACTAGCATACAGGGTGAGCCACGACTAGCATACAGGGTGAGCCACGACTAGCATACTCACAGGGTGAGTCACGACTAGCATACTCACAGGGTGAGCCACGACTAGCATACAGGGTGAGCCACGACTAGCATACAGGGTGAGCCACGACTAGCATACTCACAGGGTGAGCCACGACTAGCATACTCACAGGGTGAGCCACGACTAGCATACAGGGTGAGCCACGACTAGCATACTCACAGGGTGAGCCACGACTAGCATACAGGGTGAGCCACGACTAGCATACTCACAGGGTGAGCCACGACTAGCATACTCACAGGGTGAGCCACGACTAGCATACAGGGTGAGCCACGACTAGCATACTCACAGGGTGAGCCACGACTAGCATACAGGGTGAGCCACGACTAGCATACTCACAGGGTGAGCCACGACTAGCATACTCACAGGGTGAGCCACGACTAGCATACTCACAGGGTGAGCCACGACTAGCATACTCACAGGTTGAGCCACGACTAGCATACTCACAGGGTGAGCCACGACTAGCATACTCACAGGGTGAGCCACGACTAGCATACGCACAGGGTGAGCCACGACTAGCATACTCACAGGGTGAGCCACGACTAGCATACAGGGTGAGCCACGACTAGCATACTCACAGGGTGAGCCACGACTAGCATACTCACAGGGTGAGCCACGACTAGCATACAGGGTGAGCCACGACTAGCATACTCACAGGGTGAGCCACGACTAGCATACTCACAGGGTGAGCCACGACTAGCATACGCACAGGGTGAGCCACGACTAGCATACAGGGTGAGCCACGACTAGCATACTCACAGGGTGAGCCACGACTAGCATACAGGGTGAGCCACGACTAGCATACAAGGTGAGTCACGATTAGCATACACACAAAGTGAGTCACGACTAACATATAGGATGCGTCACGACTAGCATACTCACGGATTGACACAGCGTGAAGACGAGCATCAGGCAGACGACAGATTTTATTAATTCCATCTCTTTGGTGATTGATCAGAATTCTACTTTTGGGTAGATTGTTGAATCTGCTAAATCCTGACGACTTAAAATGACTGATGACGATTATAGCTGGCTGATTTGAGTCCAGATGCAAAGTTATACCCCCATTTTAAAGCTTTTCTCCTGTCAAACTGTGATTTACACTCTGGGAAATTGTGATCTGAACATTGTTCCAAGTTCCACTGTTTTAATGTTACACAGCGGTTCTAAAAATTGTGTTTATTTTGCTTCTTTATTCCGGAATCGGGAAAACATTCAAGCAAATTATTAAATTGTGGAGTATTTCATAAAGTTAAATATTAAATTGCTTTTTGCAAACGTTTTTTTTTAGTAAAACTTTTTTTTCATGGCTTCTAATGCGTGCTTGGGGGAAAACTATTCGTAAAATCGAAAAACAATTAATGAAACAACAATGATTTACGCAGTTAATTTTTTTTAAAAGCTGAACGTATAAGGTGACACCAAAGCGGGAAAAAAACATATTAACATATAGGGAGTGAGGGGGTGGGTAGTGACGCCAATAAGCGTGGTTTAAGAAGATCTGATATAATAAATGCATAAACTCAAAACATTTTGTTCCATTTATTTGCTTTTAGGGTTAGATCTTCTGACGTATATCTGACCCAAGCAGTGGCGTCGCTAGGTCGGGTGTCACCCGGTGTGGCACTTCGTGGTGTCACCCCCCCCCAAAGAAACAAAGTATATATATATATATATATGTATATTTGTATGTAGGCCTATGTATGTATGTATATATGTGTATAAACTTTAATCACTGCAGACTTAATTATAACGATGTTTATCTATAGTCTTTTAATAATACAATTGGATGTAGAATTGTTTTCTCTAGAGTTAGCACGTTGTAATAATTGTCGATTTGTACTTAAAACACTATTTAACTTTAATTAATCATTAATGGAACGAGCATTTTTCTTCTGTACATTTTGCGATCTCTTTACCTTGGTGTCACCTCCCTAAATGGTGTCACTCAGTGCGGTCCGCACCCCCCGCCCCGCCCTCGCTACGCCTCTGGACCCAAGTGAGTGTTCTGTCAATAAACATGTGGTCCAGAGACCACAGTTTGAGAGTACAAATGTTTTCACGTGACCAGTAGTGACATGAACTGTATGCAAATGTAATGAATCCGTTGTTGCCAAATATTCGTGAGAACACAAAACATTCCCAGCGCATCAGGTTATCGCTATTGTCACTCTAAGTCGTAAGTTACATACAAGGGACGGAAAAATATCTGTCCCAATGCTAAGCTCAAGGCTAAAGAAGTAATGGAGACTCGTGGTTCGTATTTTTTTCAAACCGATGAGGACAGTTTTGTAATAAATAAGGTGGAAGCCATCTAGCCAAGTGCACGTTGTTGTGTTATTGATTTCGAGGTGACAGATTTGTGACCAGTTTTACTTCGTGTAAAAACACACAAAATATATTATACATACCACAAACTGTATTACAAATACATAGAAATTATAATAGTAAATAAACACCGCAGAACAAAATAGATTATATCCATTATAGAATAAATTATAATAGATCATACACTATAGATCATCATAAAACATACAACAAAACAGAGAAGGTTCAACAACCTTTCCAACAACCATCAAGCACATCCCACCAGGTATAGGTGCAGGTGCAGGTGTAGTAGATGTAGGTGAATGCGTAGGCGTAAGCGTAGATGTAGTTGTAGGTGTAGGTGTGTAGGTGTGTAGGTGTGTAGGTGTGTAGGTGTAGGTGTATAGGTGTGTAGGTGTGTAGGTGTGTAGGTGTGTAGTTGCAGTTGTAGGGGTGTCCTGAAATAAACTCTAAATGCGACTTCTGTCAGGTTCGATCGTAGGTGCAAGGTTTAAGGGTATAACTACGATTATATTTAGTATCAATCTACAGTTACTACGTGTAAATCAAGCTTAAATCCGATTCTGGATAAAAAATCGTTTTCAATGACATTTTTCGTTTCAGGTTAAATTTGAAATTTAGGTGTTGATTTTGGTTTTGGTTTCAATCTAGAGAAAAAGATAACACTATCAACAGTTTATCTCTCACTTGACAGGTCATTTATCTCGTTTTATATATTTTGCTGTTCTGGCAATATAAGATTTGACTAGTAGGCCTAAATTTTACGGGCACACTTCCGGTTGACAGTTTAATGCACATGCAAGTCCTAGTCAGTTAAAGTCTTAAAGTTGAATGGTGATTAATCATAAATCTAGAATCTAGATCTAGATGATAACCACAGTTACTGATTAAGGTTGACATCTAGATTCTAGAACTATTTAAATAGATCTAGATGTAATCAATTGTAATAAAAAATCATCTCGGTAAAACTCCATTTTAGCCTATTTTATTCGCCGCTTCACGTTTAACTCCGGTTGAGCGTGCCGTAATTTAAAATTTTATTGTAAACACAACTGAAACACAAAACTTAATAAAAACGTTAGGAAAACATCACTAGGATTAGACTCTTAGAGCTAGATCTACTTAGAATCTATTTTTATTTTGATGAATGTGTTTTTTAATTAGAAAAGGTAATCAGGAAAGGTAAAGAAAAAATAAACAAAAAAGCAATAATTACTGGATTACTGGACAGTTCCAATTAAATAGCGTGTGATCGTCAGCGATAGAAAAACCCCTACACAGTCGAGGGTTCACCGTGAGTTCATACTTTATTAATTATCAGCATACAGCATAGTTGGGCAGTAGCTATTTTATTTGGGTAATCTATCGTTTTATGTACGTAAAATCGCCCGTGGCTAGTAATGTACGAAAAAGTTACCTCATTGTCAAATATTATAGATAAATGAATAATAAACCTAAAGCAATGGCTAGATATATCAATATAGGCAAGAAATTAACTTTAAACAGCAGTGTTTGCGAGCAGGATTTGCTATATAAAAAGCGGCCATCTGTAAGTTAGAGTGGCTTCCCCTGAATCTTGCGCTATAAGTTTATAAAAAAAAACTTCAACGAGATGGCTGCTATAGTAAATGAGCAATGTTGCATCTGTTGGAAACATTGCTAGTTTTCATATATTACTGAAAAGCTTTAATTTAATTGTTTAAAAACAGGTACATAAATGAAACGGAAACATTTTTGTCTTTTTCAAAACATAAATCCTCCTCAAAACGTGAAATAATTATTAAAATTTAAGGAGTCACCTGTTTTTCACATTACTAGTCGTGGGCGATTTTACGTTACTAAAACGATAGATTACCGCAAATTGAAATGGTGTTGGCCTCAGTTTTGGGATCATTGTGAGTTCATAAAAGTTTATTTATAGTATCATGCGTGGGAGATACTTGTAACAATACAAACTTAACTGCCTTGCAATTGTCAATTGTGAGTTTCGTACTTCACCCATTGACATGAATATCTTAACAGACACAGGAACATAGCACATTTAATATTCCAAATTTGGATTTTTCTCAAGTTTTGAAAAAGTAAATTATCAAAACTAAAACAAAACTTCATAAAGAAAAAAGCCCCATGTTTTCCTACCGTTTTTGTGCGTTTCGGTTGCGTTTATAATAAAATACGCTCAACTAGATGTGAACGTGAAGCGGGAATAAAATGGAGTTTTACCATCATCTAATCTACTAGCTAGATCTAGGTCTAGATCTAGTAAGTTACTACACTAGTAGATCTAACTAGATTTAGAATTCTAGATTTTCTAGATCTTTTTACTAATTTTAGATAATCAAATAATCTATCATTTTAGGTGCGTAAAATCGTCCGAGGCTAGTAATTTGACACACATTTCAAATATATTATAGATCTCTATCACAATATACTTCTATTAAAATTAGGTAATCTACAAATTTTGATTGGCTTTACAGGAACTCTGAGTTTGATACTTTAAAAATGTCACCTCATCAAAATTTTATTGAAATTTGTACTCAAAACTTTACTGATACAATTTTTAAATAAAATTAATTTTTTTAGACCACATGATATCGTTTAACCATGTTTGTTGTCATTTTCAGTGATAAAACGCACACCAACAATTTGTTTCTGGCTTTTCTTTTAAAATTTGCATAGTTACCGAATATATTAAAAATTCAATTACATCCATTCTTTAGTACAGTCCAACAAAGATCAGAGATTTTTATCACCATATTTATTTTATAAACATCTGTATAGTTTTTAAAATATTTAATGGGCCTTTAGAATAATTTAAAGACTTCTTGGTTGTGTCCATTAATATTACTACTAGATGTAGTCTAGTGTCACTAGAGTCACACTCTAGTAGATTTAGAATAAAATCTAGATTAAATCTATTCTAAATTAATCTTGATCATGCTAGATATATTTCTTAATTAAAGATTTAAATGGAGGTAGCAGAGTTTGACAAGTTGTGTTCAACATTGTTTGACAATGCCATGGCTAAAAAAATGTTGCCATCAAAGCGGCAGTAAATAAAATTAAAACAAAAATGATTCAGAAATTTAGTATTTTTAGAAGCAAACTTGAATATAATTTTTAAAATATTAAGTATTTATTTAGTATTAAAATTAAGGGTACATTTCTATTGTTTAGTTTAATCAAGCCTAAGTTTTAAGTCAAACTTATGTAAAAAAAAACATTGTAAAGGAACTGCATGATCGATTTTTCTGAAAACTCCACTTCATAATAATTCATTCTCAAAACTTTCCTGATAAAATCTTTAAACAAATAAAAACATTTAAACCACATAACCTAATTCTACCATTTTTGTTTACATATTCTGTAATAAAATGGAAACAACTAAACTGTTTTTGGCTTTTGTAAAGTCTGATAAAAACTTCACAACAAAGTTTTTATAGCCACATTTATTTTTATAACACCACACATGATTTTTAAAATAATGAGACTGTTCACTGCTGCAGTCCATTGAAATATTTTTTTCATTTAAAATTAAAAGCAAAAGCTGATTTAAATTTCAAATAACTAAAACAACGTATTTTATTTTGTATTCTGAGATCCAGATTTAGCTTGATTAGGCCCACATGTTCTAAATTCTAGGTTAGGTTAGCCTGTCGCCCCCTTCTGGGACAGCAGAAATGTAACTTTTCCCCTTTTTTCCAGGAAATCTGCTTTTTACCATTTGAGAGAAATTTCCCGCAGAAGAAAATCAATATTTTTCAGTACACTGACTTTTATTTGGAGAAAATATGTATTCTTTTACGTTTATCAATTTTCCATTTAACCCAAATAAAAACAAAGAATTTATTTGAAAACCTATTTTATGAAACTAAAATGTGCAGATACCAAGAGTAAATTGAGAATAAGGTCACATAGAGTCTAGTTTAAATAAAAGTCTGGAATTTAATTTTAGAAATAAAAATTTCATGTTTGTAACTAGTACAACAATTAAAATTTTGATACTTATTTTTGTAGCAAGATAGAGCAACAAGAAGATGTAAGATGAAAATATTTGTTTGTAGCCATTTATGTGTCGGGCAGAATACCTTATTGTCTTAAAAAGGTAATTAAAGAAGATGCAGAAAATTAAAGTAAATACTTTTATATAAGTATATTTATATGTCTGAACATGTTATGATCAAATTAATGGATTAAAAGACTTCTGTACTAATTTTTTTTCAGGTTATATAATCACCCATAAACATGCCAGTATTTATATCACAGTTCTGTGCTCTCACGTACAAGAATGTAAAACATTACCAATATTCAATTGTGACCACCTTGATAGAGATAGGTAAATTCATATGTCATCATAATTATTATTCACAAGTGTGTTGATGAGCATAATAATAACCATAATTAAATTTCTAGTTATAGCACAAACATTTTAAATTGTGTTTTCTTGAGCTTACTTTGTCCTGACATCAATTAAGAAAGTTATTCAAGTACGAGCCACCCGCGGTCTATCATACGCCGCTATTTAGTTGTTGTTTTTTCTACTTTTCAGTAATTCATAATTTGTAAATTCGACAGTACCAATGCTGCCACTGAAAATATTTGCTTTAAAACACTAAACCCCCATCCCCCCCCTCTCCGTGAAAGCAGCCTCCTCTTAGTTACCTCCTCTAAGTTTAAAATCGTTTCAATCTAAATTATCTGCCCCTAATAGCCGTCACCAAACCCGGCTCTACGATTGTAAAATGTAAACATTTAGCGTGAACCAAAACTCACCAGACCATGTGTGGGGGGTGGTAGCGATAGAGAGGAAGAGAGGGGACTGCAAGGTGCACTTGCAGCTTGTTTTCTAACGTCTCCCAGAAGAGAATTATATATATATAGAAGATAGATACTTGTGCCATAGGAAAAATATTTTCTACTTTGAAAGACCCCCAACATCTACTATAATAATGTTC